GCGTGCCTCAGGAGATGGGAGTAACGTGAAGAAGCAGGTACTATAGGGTATCTCAGGGTGAATGCTGTGGCAGGATGAGGTGGAGCCTGATGGCAGGCGTGCCTCAGGCGATGGGAGTAACGTGAAGAAGCAGGTACTATAGGGTATCTCAGGGTGAATGCTGTGGCAGGATGAGGTGGAGCCTGATGGCAGGCGTGCCTCAGGCGATGGGAGTAACGTGAAGAAGCAGGTACTATAGGGTATCTCAGGGTGAATGCTGTGGCAGGATGAGGTGGAGCCTGATGGCAGGCGTGCCTCAGGCGATGGGAGTAACGTGAAGAAGCAGGTACTATAGGGTATCTCAGGGTGAATCAGCCAAACCCCCACATATCCTCTGGGATACTGTTTTATTTTGCAAACTCTAAAGCGCATTCTGTTCTGATTGGCTCCGGCGAGTCACATGTCATGTGTGTTAAGGTTAGGGCTGGGTAGGGATTGAGGTTGTCGTTGCTGGGGTTGGGGTTTTTCCTATAGAAATGAATGGAGAGTCCCCACTAAGATATGACTACAAACGTGTGTGTGTGTGTGTGTGTGTATGTCCGTGTCCGCCCCCATTCTTGGATCCGCTTCTGCATCACATGTCTGCCCTAAACCTGCTGTCATTCTTCATCTCTTGACAGCCTTAACGAGTTTGAGAGGTGTCTGGAGGGCAACCTGGCGACTAATTATTTGCAGATGGCCAGTGAGTTTAGTGTCGAGTCGCAGCTGCGCTCCGCCTCACAGGCTGTCGTCGGCGTTAATTTAAAGTCTCACACCTTTTAAGATCGCTCTTTGGGACCCAAAATGCAAGAAAGAGTTCAGGAAAAGCCCCTGACTTCTGTGCCCCGTTCCTACATTTAGTGTGAGGTATTTATAAGGCGGAGGGCGAGTGTGTGTCCTCCCAGCCGCTGAGCCTGTTTTTACTCTCCCGTTAAAGGGAGCCGGCCAGCAGAAGGTGGACGATGGCGGCAGGCCTGCGGCCCCCCTCAAGGAGCAGGTAAGATCCCCCACAGCCTTATCACCTTTCCACTGCTTCTGTGGGTGCTGGCACTGCTTTTGGGGGGGGGGGGCTATGCAGGGCAGGGACAATGGTTATTCAAATTTATTTGGTAGGTGTTGGGGAGGGACTTACGGGACTGGCCATCGTGTCAGCTGGGAGTCTGTTTGCGAAGCTGCTGAACTGCCTCCCCCCCCCCCCCCCCCCCCCCCCCCCCCCCAAACCTTGTTCGCAATCCATACTGTAAATCAGTTTGAGTGATTAGTATTCTTAGCTGGGTTCTATTGAACCAGTATCAGAATGTACTCACTGATGAGACTTGTGTAAGTCGCTTTGGCTAAAGGAATCTGCCAAATGCCGTAAATGTAAATGTAAATTTGGGGGAGGAGATGAAGGGGGCCCTGAAAGGCGTCCACACCATAAATCAGTGAGAGATGCCCCCCCCCCCCCCTTCAATAAACCACTGAGGTGCACATCAAAGGCTTCAGCTTGCCGCTTCGCTGTGCCGGTCACACCCCCGCACTGCCTCGCACCTCGGTGTGTTTATGTCATCGCGCAGGGGACGGCAGCCCCCCCACAGAGCAGAAAATTCCACCGCACGCTGCCCAAGGACCAGACGCAGCTGCTGTCACTTCAGCACGACCACAGGCAGCAGGAGCCCCAGAAGGCCGCTGCCGGCCCCGCCCCCTCACGGCCCGGCCCCGCCCCCTCCCGGCCCGGCCCCGACCCCTCACGGCCCATCGCCGGCCGCCACCGAGCGGTAAAGCTTTCCGCTACGCCCTCATGTTTTGTGTCTGTTTCGCTTGCACCTGCTTACAGCGCTGCTACTCTCCTGCTGGCTGCAGCAAACGCAGCACCGATTGTCAGACATGTTACACAATCAAGATCCTCTATAGCCTGGTTACATCCAGGAGTAGCAGGTGGGCTCATTTAGTCTCAGTAAGGAGGAAGGAGGAACCATGATGGAACCAGCTGGAGGACTGGAGTCTGACCCCCAGACCCCCCGAGGCAGAGGGGTTGAAAGGTCTTTTCTGTCCCGATCAGGTGGAGGAGTGCCCCCTAGTGGGCGAAGGGCCTCGCCACAATCTGAACCGCGTGGCTGCTGGTCTGCCCTCCCACATCCAGTCTCGCCTGGGCTCCGGCAGCAACTCAAGCCCCTGCACCCCCGCCCTACAGAGGGCCGTCCCCCAGCAGGTAAGGGGGGGGGTCCGCCAAAGCACCATGGCACCATGATACACGCAGTCACACTTCTGGAACAGTCCGTGAGAGGTCTCGTGGTTTCACATGCACTCCAAGCCTGTAGGGGGCGCTCACCTCCACATCATCCAGGAGTACCTAATTTATGGATGTCCAAGGGAAGTTGTGACTTTCGGTCGTGCCCATGGTGGGCCACTGTTTCAAATGGTCGTGTGACTTTTCGCCACCTCCCTCCCTGCCTGTGCCATATGGCTGCCCATAGTCACTTGAGCGGACCAGCTCCATAAAAGTACTCCTTCAGATCCCCTCCATGAGCATCACTGTTCTGCTCTCCAGGTGGATTGTGGGATTCAGTTCTATTTCTGTGCCAGTTAAGGTGCTTGACATGTGTTTCCAGAACGCCAACCTGCGTTCCAGCAGGGACGCCCAGCACAGCAGCTCCTTGTCGGACATGGCCACCACACCCCTGTCCCCCACCCTTGATGATGTATTCTGGGACTTCCCCAACTCTGAAGAGCACCCCCCCAAGGTGGGTTTTTTACTGGTGAGGGGATTTCAAGGATGGATGCATCTTTCTGTGAGTGAACCTTGTGAGACAGATTCTGTTGAGTGAAATTCCCACATCCTACATTTATACACTGAAATTCCACCATCAGCTCATTCTACATCTCTGCACCTCGGCTAAACCATTTATTGGGGGGAGGTGGCCGTAGAAAGACTGTTTATGTGTCTTTGTTCTACACATCTTTGTGTCTTTGTTATATGGCTTGTTTTGGGCACTTTTTTGGGGAATCCAACACACAAAAATAGGCATGAACAAACACATACACCTGCTTAGGGTAGTGGTATGCTCCAAACCCCCCCCTCATCACAGCCACATTCCACAACGTGACTGACAGCCTATGTTTTTAATAACATCCCTCATGAGTGCAACTTCCTACATCATGCTGATAAACAGCTGCGCTCCTCAACCAAACCATCTGTTGCCTTCGCCCGGGAGAGCTCGAGACTCTCCCAGAAAGAGCGTGGTGCCGCGTCTCTTCTTAATGGCCGGCAAGCTTTTTTTTTCCAGTTGCGAAGCACTCGGACGAAATCAGAAACTCCCAGCTGAGGTGGCATTTCAGAGGTCATTTAGGAAGTAGTTCTTCCTCTGGGCGGTGCACTCGTGCCATATGACTGCGGGGGCATGAGCTACAAGCTCAGCACTGTGGGAGGGGGGGCTGTGGTTTTCACTGTGCACACCCCAGCACGGTGACCTTTCAGATCCCTTTTGAATCTCTTTACACCTATGACTCCCATGATGTGTTTTTCTGCGAGGGCGGGGCCCACTGACAGAAACTCAGTGGTTCGGCAACCGTCGTTCTCACATCGACAGGTTTTGTTTTTCCTTTTTGTTTCCGTTGACTGTTTTCGATGAAATTAAAATATAGCATGGCAGGGCTACCTGGACCGATGGAAAAATAAAATAAAAAGTAAAATAAGCAGCTTAACTCTTTGATTGCATGTCATGTGAGGATTGTGCCAAAGTTTTAAAAAAAGGTAATATAATCTGAGCATGTGAGACAACGCTGTGAGCCAACGCTGGCCTGGAAATCTCTGTGATGGGGGCTCTCCTTTTTCCCCAAAGGTCCCAGAACGTACAACATCGAAGATCTACTGCAAGGAACTGTTGAGTCATCAGAGGACGGGTTCCAGGTATGCTACACACAGATGTTCTGGAAGGATTTATTCCTATCATTATTTATAGTAATTCCTATCGTTATTTATCGTTATTCCTATAATCTGGGCTGAGTCCATCACTCCGGCCTCCCAGGCCCAGCTCGTATGTCCAAAATGTCCCACACCAGAGTGCTGTTCCTTCCTCTCATCGTTCTCCATTCCTGCTTATCTCCAGTGGGTTTCCAGCATCTCCAGGTGGCAGGGGGAGGTCCCCTCACAGTGGCTCCACCGGCAGCACCCAGTTTGGTGTGTAACCCCCCCCCCCCCACATCTTCTCAAACCTCAGCTGTTGTCCAGTGGATGACATTAGATGTTAAGAGTTGTGGTGTACCTTTTAAATATGTTCTCAGATATATCTCTTCAGTTTTTGTGGTACATGTTGTGTTTTCTCGTTTGTGAATCTTGTTTATAAAGAACCATCTGTAGAATAAACTATACCATCATCCCAAGAGCACATGAGTAGTAGATAATGTCTTTACCGGAGTATGTTTCGGGTGTGTGCACCCACTCACCCGCAAGGTGAACACAGCAGAATAACAGCTGGTGTTTTTTACCCAGCATGCCTTGCTGCACGAGGGGGTCATTTCTCCAAGCAAACCTCTGTCAGGAATCTGATTGTCCTCCTTCTCACAGAATTCTCCAAGATGCTGGAAAGTCCACGTCTGCATTCGCGCCAGCAGCAGTATCGGGCGTCCCAGGAAAGCTCTCCCGGGGGCGTGAAGCCAGTAGGTGCTCCGTCTGGCATACTGCTCTTACATCCCAGACCGGGACACCAGCCAGCACGCTGTCATTCCTCAGCTTCCGTGTTGCTCCTCAGCAGAGATTATAGTCCTCATGTCTGTCTTAATTACAGCCTAATGACAGATGAATAGTAGAAGTCCTTGGGGGGGCTGAATGTAATGAGGGATTAACACAATGCATGCTTTTGCAGCTGTGTTATCTCAGATGGAGTCAGGGGCGGTTTTATTCAAATGTCTGAAAGTGTGTGAGACTTCCTCACCAGCAGGGGGCAGTGTGAGCATTCCTTAAACTTAAGTCACAGTAAAGCAGAACATAACCCGTTTTTTGTCACTTCCTGTTGTTATGTCTATGGACTCGCCCCTTAGGATAGCGACCTCGTTAAGATGTCTCTTATTTCCACTTCCGCTACAATGCAAAACTTTGTTTTCACAAAAGTCTCCTTGGTCACATGCTATTTTGAGAACTTGGGTGAGTCACCGTCCCCCAGGTCCTCTGGGACAGCGTCACAACATTGTGGAAGACTGTCCTTATCTGACAGTGGGCTCAGTGTCTTTACTACAGGCTTTCTGAACATTGTGGATGATGGTGTGTACGGGGCTGGTCTAGTTGCAGAAGCAATCAGAATCACATTAGATCCACGCCGGTCCTTAGCGAAGGTTACTAAAGTCAGGCTGTCTCTCGATCTGCACGCACCCTGGCTGGCTTACAGGAAGTGACCTCATCATCAGTGGGGCATTAGCAGGACCTAAGTCTGTGTGAGCATCTCCGGTCCTATAGGGGGTAGTAATCCCCTCTAACCTCTGCCTCCCTCCTCCAGGGCTCAGCGCCACTGAAGGCTGCAGTGTACTCCTCATCCAGTGATGAGATGGCGAGCAGCGACGAGGATGAGAGGACCCGGTGTGTTCGGCCGCCCGCCCCACTGCCCGCACACTTTCCCATCTCCCTATGACATCCTGTTTACCATCCACTGCTCTGATGTGGCACTTTGGAGTTGGTCATCGGGTGGGGCGGATCCTTTTTCTTTCCTAGAAAGCAAGCGCCTTTGTTATATTTGGGGAAAAAAAGAAATGCAGGATGCAATCACTCACCCCCCCCCACCCTGTGACTGTGCCCCCTCCCCCCAGGCCTAGCCTGAATAACGGGATCCGGAGGTTTTACGGATTCAGCCCTGACGGCGTGGTGCTGCGGCCTCATGGCAACCTGAACCAGCAGCAGGTGAGTGCCCCGACCCCCCCCAGGACCCGGACAGGCTTGCCGACCCCCCCAGGACCCGGACAGGCTTGCCGACCCCCCCAGAACCCGGACAGGCTTGCCGACCCCCCCAGAACCCGGACAGGCTTGACATTTGAATCACAGCCATTGGATGGTGCCCAATGGTGGAAAAAAACTGTGCTTCACCTTTGCCTTTGCTTTGAAGATCTTTATTATGGTGACTAAATGTTAGATTAGTTGTTAAGACTGTTGGTTTTTATCTGATTTCTATCCCAAAATGTTACCAGGTGATTGTAGGTCTGCATTAATCATAGCAGCCCATGAAGAGGACTAAGAACCAAGCTGAAGGGGACTTTACATGAGAGACTAAGCCAGGGGTGGCCAAACTCACCCAGAAAGGGCCGCTGTGTGATCTAAATCTTATCCCAAAAACCTGCCTACACATTGACCCTTTGAGGATAAGATTGGCCACCCCTGGGCTAAATTGTCTGGTTAAAATCTCTCTCATTGCAGGGTCTCAGAAATTAGAACAACGTATATGTTCTGGTATACCTTAGAAATGACCCAGTACTGTAATACAGCCTAGAACTCACTCTTTGTTAGTGAAATGAGTGCATGTTCATAGTGATATTTTTTGTATGAGTAATTACAGCAGTTAGCATTAGTGAGGTCAGTTAGTAATGACAAATGATAGCTTAAAAGTGACTTAACATCCCAAAGGATGCAAGCAAACATCACTTCCTGTAAGCAAACATCACTTCCTGTAAGCATTCATCACTTCCTGTAAGCATGCTTAATTTCCTGATCATTTCTGCAGCCTCGGGGGTGTAGAGTGATGGGGCTCTGCCTCAGGGTGTTCAGTGTCCTGCCTCCTCCCTGCTGAAAGCTTGTGGCTCTTTCACTCGCCATCCAGGTTCCCCCCCTGCAGCGGCCTCCAGTACAGGAGTGCAACCAGAACTACCTTCTGCCAGATCTTCTGCAAAAAAGCCGCTGCTTTAGCAGCTCGGCCCTCCCCCAGGATGGCCCCAAGTCCCCCCTGAATCCCACATCCCCACACCTCAATGTGAGCATCATCAGACTGCACAAACACACAAAATCCTGGATTGTTGAAATAGTGAATTTCAGTAAGCATCGCAGAGACATAAATGTGTATGATTTGTTCCTCCACTAGAGGGCGCTTGTGTCATAGCTGAGCTCCACTGAACACAACTGCAGACTCGTTCAAAAATAAATTCACCTTATAACCACATATCTTGGGATGCAGAGGGTCCTTGAACCTATCCCAAGAGTCATGGGGTACTAGACTGGGGGACACTCCAGATAGGATGGCAGTCAGTCACATGGCCGTTTTATAGACACCAGCATGTCTTTGGTCTGTGGGATGAAACCCACATAAGACAGGAAGAGGTGGGAGGCCTCAGGAGCAGGGCCCCCTGAGCCACTGTGCTACCCACCTGGTTCATTCCAGTGACCCCCCCCCCCTTTCTGGAGCTGTAATGCAGTGTCCAAGTTTACCACACCAAGGGCAATTCTAGGATTTTTTTTAAGGTGGGGGCGTAAGAGGGGCCATAATTCATTCAGGGGAGCCGGCTATATCATTAGCCAGTGATATGACTTCAACAGGGGAGGGGGCACTCTGGGGGCCAGTGCCCCTAATGGACACGCTGCTGTCACCTTTGCGAGGTGCCCTGTTGTCCTTTCTCACCGTGGGTCTCTGCTGCCGTTGCAGTCCCCCACTGGCGGACAGCTGGGGAAGAGTGGCTCCTCCACATCGTCATCCCCCTCCTTCATGCCTTTCATCGACCCCCGGCTCATGCAGATCTCCCCCCCGCAGAGTCCGGTGGGCAGCAGCCCCAGTGAGTACCCAGCATGCCTCACTGACAACCCATAGGCATGAGGGGAGGGGGGCAATCAGTGTTAACCAGTCGTTCGCTGTCGGTTGGGGGGTGGGGGCGCTATTAACCCGTCTGTCCTGGTGCCACTGTAGCCAGCGGAAAGCCGGAGCCGTTCCGAAGGGAAAACCGCCGGAAGGGCTCCGTGGTCAATGTCAACCCCACCAATATCCGGCCTCAAAGCGACACGCCGGAGATACGCAAGTACAAGAAGAAGTTCCACACCGAGATCCTTTGTGCGGGCCTCTGGGGTGAGTTAGCAGGCCGCGCCCCGCCTCGGCCCATCCTGCCGCTCGGGCTACCCCTGACACGTGCCCCCCACCCCACCCACAGGCGTGAACCTGCTAGTGGGCACAGAGAGCGGCCTGTGGCTGCTGGACCGCAGTGGCCAGGGGAAGGTGTACTCGCTGATCAGCCGTCGCCGCTTCCAGCAGATGGAGGTGTTGGAGGGCCTCAACGTGCTCATTACCATCTCAGGTGGGTGCAGTACTGGGGGTGTCTCTCAGCCCTGACTGCTCTGGGGTAATATGGGGGGATAAGGTCACCTCTAACTGGGGCAGGTAGACTGGGGAAAATCTCAGTACGACATGGGAGTTGTGGGGTAATCTCACTCCTGTTTCCTATTACCCTAACCCCACGCTTGGGGGATAATTTCACTACTAAGTGCTTCAGGTTCAGGTGCACAAATCTCACACCTAAATCGTCAGAGCAGACAGGGGCTAATCTCATACCCCTCACCCCCAGAATCTAAGGTAAATCTAAGGGGCTGATCTTACAGTTGTGTCCTCCACATAGGCAGGTCATAATCCCCAAATGAAGGGGGGTAATCCCACCTCTGCCATTACTCTCTCCTGACTTTGGTCCCTCAGGTAAAAAGAACAAGCTCAGGCTCTACTACCTGTCCTGGCTGAGGAACAAGATCCTGCGGAACGACCCTGAAGTGGAGAAGCGGCAGGGCTGGACATCTGTGGGCGAGCTGGAGGGTTGTGTGCACTACAAAGTGGGTGAGTGGCACCCAGCATGCTTGCAACAATGCACTCCCTGCAGGGGTCAGCAGGTGGCGCCACAGCTGAGGAGCTAGTGCCTTTTATAAAGTAGAGTCTAGCTTATTTATTCAGAGAAGCATCTGGCTCGATGAATGGGCCAATGCATCAGTGTCAGCTTTCAAAGCTACTTTTAAAGCAAACATTATACAGGTCTTTTGTGGCCTGCATGCAATGGACAGTGACAGGAAGAGTCACCCAGTTTAGTGGGTAGATAAAGGGGGACCAGAGAGGGATGTGGTCAACAAAAAGCCGAATGAAAGATCTGGGTCAACCAAAAAAAAAAAACAAACAAAAGAGTGTTGTGGTTTTGGGCATCATGACCAGTGTCAGGCTGCAGGGGGCAGCACTGAGCATCAACAGGGATTTAACATCGGATCGGAGCACCACCTGGCGAAATGGTTCACTTGTAATTTTTCGCTCTCCCCCCACCCATCAGTGCGGTATGAAAAAATCAAGTTCCTGGTCATCGCCCTGAAGAACGCCGTGGAGGTGTACGCCTGGGCCCCCAAGCCCTACCACAAGTTCATGGCCTTCAAGGTGAGATGGCTAGCCGTTCATTTACATTTACATTTACATTTACAGCATTTGGCAGACGCCCTTAGCCAGAGCGACTTCCATAAGTGCTTTAAGACTCTACAATGAATTTTTCCCGATACTAGCTCGATAAAACCAAGGCTATGAATACCATCGATCTAATACTCTGTTGGGAAAGTGCGTTTTTTTTTTGTTTTGGTTTTTTTTTATAAAAGGAAAAAAACAGAGTATAATGCCAGAAGTGTTAATTCAGTTAGTTCAGTTAATTCAATTTCTGGAAAATACCTGAATCCATCCATCCATCCATCTAGCTGGGGTGGTGTGTGGCAGACTAATGTAGCTGCTGGGCCCCCGAGCAAGGCCTCTAACCCCCACCTGCTCCCGGGCAAACCCTGCTTTCTGAACGGTACATCCCTTTGGAAAACGACGTCTGCTCTAGAAGTGAATATAGCAAAAGTATCTGTCTGAAAAGAATAGGGAGGACTAGAGTGTCCTAAAAAGGTGTGTGGGTGGGGGCCCTCTTTCAGCCTCCACCGGCCCCGCCCTCGCCTTCTGGGGGCCCACTCCACCACTCCTGAATATCTGGGATGCCATCGCAAGAAAAAGGCCCCTTTGTGGCAGTAAGAGGGTCACCTTGCAGGCAGCGCTCTCGTTCAAGGTCTCCGGTGGGGCCTGCTCCACTTCCCCCACAGCTCTCCGCCGCCACGAGTTAGCAGCACATTAGCAGCCAGGAGCTCGCTAACTAACCAGCTGGACTCTAAGCCCCTAAGCCTACGAGCACCTCAGAGAGGCCAGAAATGTCCACATCAGCTGCTCTGGGTGCACCTTTAGGGGGCAGCAGTAAGATGAAATACCAGTGAAATGATGGTGAAATGACTTAACACTGAATGTAAACACTGTTCGTGAGACTTTATTAAAGTGCTACATTGCATTCTGGGAAATATGAAGAATTTCTTATCCCTATATTTTTGTGTGTTTCTGTCACTCTCATCCTTTATCTCCCCCCCCTCTGTCTCTCTCTCTCCCACCCTCTCTACACCTGCTTCTCACCCTCTCTATCCCTCCCTCTCTTCACCAGTCCTTCACCTCGCTGCCACAAAAGCCACTGTCAGTGAACCTGACCGTGGAGGATGGTCAGAGACTGAAGGTCATCTATGGCTCGCTGTGCGGCTTCCACGCCATTGACGTGGACTCGGGGACACCCTACGACCTCTACCTGCCCACGCATGTGAGTGCCCCCCCCTCCCTCCCGCTCCCCGGGGCCTGAATGTCACTTTAGAACTTCTGAACAACATCGATGAAGGATAAATAGACCAGTTACTGTGTGGAGAGTGGACCCTGGAGCCTGCTCATATAAGGGGGTCTCCTGGTTATCGTGTGTGTGTGTGTGGGGGGGGTGTGTGTGTATGTGTGTGTGTGTTTGTGCTTGTGTGTGTTTGTGTGTGAGTTCCTCTTCCCCCGCTAGTGTGAGATGTCAATGTTCTGTATGTTGAGCTGAATCTAGCTGCATTAATGAGTCCTGCCCACGCGCTGGAGGTACGAGTCCGCATTGGGAAAAGCAGAGAGCACATGCAGGGCACGCACACACAGGACACACGCGCAGGGCGCACACACGCCCACAGGGGCACTCCTGCAGTTCGGCCGACACGCACGCACACACCCACACATACGCCGCCACATGTACCCAGACCGCTACGTATCCCAGCTCTCCCAGTGCACTGTCCCAGAAAGCCCCCATTGGCTGTCGGGCCCCAGCCCCACTGCTGTGTGCCACTTTCCGAATGTGGCTAAAAATACGGCACTGTGTGAGCAGGCTCCGCTGACCCGGCCCGCCGCTGCCGCCGCTTTCCTTTTTTTCCATCCTCTCCGTATAAATGCGTTTGGCGGAGCGCAGTCCGTTTATTGCGTCGCCCGCTCGCTCACTCAGCGCGCTGCGCTCTTCTCCCAGCTCTCTCCCTGCTCGCCCGCCCACTCACCCGCCCGCTCGCTATCTCGCTCGCTCGCTCTCCCACCCTGGAGTCCCCACTCGCCCGCTGCCCGCCGCCCTGGCCCCTGATGGCGGCCCCGCGCCAGCGGCTCAAGATCGCGCTCCGGCTCTGGGTGCCCGTGCTCATGCTGCGGATCGTGGCAGCCAGACAGGAGGAACGGGCAAGTACACGCGCGCACACGGACGCTCGGACACGCGTGTGCATGCCAGGCTCCTGCTTGGGGTAGCCGGCAGAAGGAGGGTGCATGTGAGCTACGTGTCGACGCCCCGGATTTAGGAACAGGCTCGTCATCTTGTGTGCCCGGTTATCGGACCATCGCCAGCTTGGACACTTTCACTGGGGGGGCGCTCTACCCGCAACCCCCACACTGGGGGGGTTCACTGGGAGGCTCGCGAGAAACCAGCCGGACCCCACTTGCTCGCGGACACCTTTAACGAGACTGCAAGCCAAACAAACCCGTAACCCGGCTAATAAAGCCAAAATGAGCAGCAGTAATTAATAGAGATTTTGACAGATAATTAAAGGCATTAAACGGGGCTCATCTTGCTCACTGTGGGGTGCTGGCGGTGGGCCTGGGGGGCACCAGTCGTGCCAGAAACACGTTCCCAGTCGTTTGTGGGAGTGTAACATTTGATTCTCTTTTTGAGGTTTTTGATGATGCTTCAGAGGCATTCTGATTGGCTGCCATGTGAGTTTGTACTGCTGTAGTGTTGGTGCCTTATGTTACATTGTGTGTGTTCGTTTCGCACTAAGAGTCTTTGTTTTGTTACTGTGTGTGCGTGTTACTCTCCCATGTGGCATGCCTGATGCTCAGTGTATGTTTGCGCACATATGTGTGTTACTTTCTCTTTTGTCTCAAGTTGTGTGTGTGTGTGTGTTTGTGTGTGTGTGTGTTAAAGCTTTTCTGCTTGTCTTCCAGATCCAGGGTCTCATTCGACCTCATGCCATCATCATCCTGCCCAACACCAGCGGCACAGAGGTTCTGGTGTGCTATGAGGACGAGGGGGTCTACATCGACACCTATGGGCGCATCACCAAGGAAACGGTCCTCCAGTGGGGGGAGATGCCCACTTCCGTCGGTGCGTACCCGCGAGAGCCGCCTCTGCTCCTCTAACTCTGTTATCTCCTCTGCCATCCGTCTTGCGATCTTTCACTCGTCCTCCCTCTCGGCACCGTTTCCGGGGCCTGTACCACATGCGATCCAATCCGTGTACAGATCACACGACTGGACTAGAAACACAAGGAGACTGTGGGATCTGATAGCCCACTGATATATTCCTACACCCAAACGATTTGGGCCGGGGCTCTAAAAATAAAACGGCACTGGTTCTTTTGGGTCCTGTGACCGAGTCACTAGCCAGGTGGAGCATGATCCGCGGGAACTGAGTACATAGATGCTTTTTAGCAAAGTGCAGATAAACAGCACTTGGAGGGCTTGAAGGAGTGCTCCACAAGCGACCTTCATCATGGCGACCCAGATCTCATGTTCTGGTCCAGATGATGCTTCAGAGATCCAGGCTTGAGCCAGAAACCTCTTTAAGCTCATGATCACACCTCTTCTGTCCCCATTCAGCATACCTGCAGTCCAACCAGGTGATGGGCTGGGGCGATAAGGCCATCGAGCTGCGTTCGGCCAGCACCGGCCACCTCGAGGGAGTCTTCATGCACAAGAAGGCCCAGAAGTTGAAGTTCCTGTGTGAGAGGAACGACAAGGTGAGGACACACCCGCTCCCCCACATCGCGGTACCCATTGACACCAGTGACTGCATGTCACGTTCTGTATAAATGTCAGCCACGTTGTAGAAGATCTTCATTATTTACCAGACCTTTGTGCAAGAGATTCATGAAGCTTTCCGTGAAAAGTGTGTTGGATGTTAAAGTAAGCACGGTGTTCAGGTGTGTAGCGTGTCAAGGTGAGTACAATGTTGAGGTGGGTAGTGTGTTAAGAGTAGTAATAAGAGTAGTATGTTAAGGTGAGTACAGTGTTCACTAGTGTAAAATGAGTACAATGTGTGTTATTTGTTAAAATGTGTATGGTGTTAAGATATGTAGTGTGTTAAAGTGGATGCAGTGTTAAGGTCAACAGAGTATTAAGGTGAGTAGTATGTTAAGATGAGTACAGTGTTAAGGTGAGAATTACATTGACTCCATTGGGAGCCTTCTGAGGGATGTCTGAGTCGTCATGAGCTGCACACTTGGTGGGCCACAAGTCGCCACCGGGGGAGCTATTTTCCAGAGAGTAGCCACCTTTCTGCTCTTCTTTTTGAAGGTGTTCTTTGCCTCGGTCCAGTCGGGCGGCAGCAGCCAGATCTACTTCATGACGCTGGGCCAGAACTCCCTCTTCAGCTGGTGACACCGGGAGCCCGACAGCAGCGCTGGCAGCCTCGCCGAGTCCGGATCACACCTGTACCCTGACCCGGATCGGTGCCGGTCAACGAGCTTCCCAAGAAATAGCGCTCACATGAGTTGACGTGAAAAAGCATTGTGTTAAAAGTCAGACCCAGTCAGGTTGGTCACTAATATTACTGTAAGTGCTCAGACACGTCAGGGTTCTGTCCGCGCCTCCAGCTTTTTGGTCGTGCAATAAACACAGTAAGCGCAGCATTTGAGACGTTAGCCGAATACCTCAGAAGAGTAGCCTAGCTTGGCTGTTCCAGCCGGGAGTGACTGAGGCAGACACACACACTGGGAGCAGTCTCTCCGAAACGGATTCCCTCTCTGACTGTAGCTGGCTATTCCGTTTGTCATGTGCCCCCAGTTGTTGCGATACACCGTTCTGACCGATGGCTCAGCTACACTCACACACACACACAGGCCCATAGATGCAGTGATCCCGGGGAGGTATGTGCTCCAAAGTGCCCCCCGCCACCCGCTTAGGCATGTTGGGATTCACGCAACGTGTGGGCTGCAGGCAGAGTGTGGTCCACCCCCCCGGCCTGCTGCAGTACGCCTATGTACATGGGCTGGTGTACATATTAATTGCACTGTTTCATAGTTATTTCATATTTACTGGCCTCTTGCATGTACAGTATTATTTTTACATAATATCTACTCCTTTGCACTAGAAAGGTTAAATGTAAAATACCTGTAAGAATTGCTTTACTGTAGTGGGCTTCTAAAAGAACTGAAGCTGGTTTATTGTGTTCACTCAATTTCAGTATTAATGCAAACATTGACCCCCTAGAATTATTGACAAATATTTGGACTGGGGAGTGTGATTTTTGTTCTTTTCTTTTTTTTAATTTGGGCCTGATTAGCAAACAAGACAGTAATAAATATCTTGACTCTAGATCAAACTACTTATGCTGAAATATGCATTAAAGGCTTCAGCCAATTAAAGTGAGGCAAAAAAGCAGCAACCCTCAAAGGAAGCAAAAAGAAATGTGAGTCTGATTTAAAATGTGAACTCAAGCATGTGAACGGCTTGAAAAGAAACGTCACAACTGAGTCTATTTAGACAGTAGCTGTTGTGCTCCAGGGCACCACAGGGTGGTGCTAAGTGTCATATTGGCAGTATAAATCTTCATGTGTCTCATTTACAGTGACAACGCAGCTGGTTCTGTGATGATTTGAAATAATTCAATTAGATAGTTTAGTGGGTTTTTTTACATTGCGAATGAGGATAGTTTTTTTCTGAATTTTATTTTGCTGTATAAACACAGCAGTAAGTGAGGAGCAGTATATGTTAATAAATATTCACATAATTTCATGTTGCTCCCATCAACACTGTGCTTCATTAGCCATGGTGAGGAACCTCAGAGAGGCTTGGAGAAAGGTGCTTTCCCTGGCTGGGTTAGACAGCTGGGCTCTCCTCCCTGTCGTCACTCTACAGCGCCTCCTACTGTCAGACGGGTGCCTTACAGAACTGTGTTTCCTGCTGTAAGATGGAGTGTAAAAAACGCTGGTGGTTTGACAGCACACCTATCACAGGAGGTGTCATCCCTTCTGAACTAGTGCAGGAATAGTGCAGCGAGGAGGACACCAGTGGTGAGAGCAGTGAATCCCTGGGACAGGCGTGGAACGAGCCAGAACCACAGCGAGGTCGAACACAGACAGGAAACACGGAACAGCTAAGAGGCAGTAGGACACCTTGGGGGCGAGAAATAAAGACAAAATTTCAATTTAAACCTTGGGGCTCGACTCATTATAAAGAATACATGTTTTTTTATTTTATATTTAAATGTACATTTAAGGAAAAATGAAGTTTGCTTTCTATACCTTTTCTGCACCAGGCTTAAGAAAAAAAAAATGAACTTCATCCTTTGGAACCATTTCTGCTAAATTACAGTGTCAGAGTTGAGTTCTAGAGGAATCTATAATCGATGTTTCTGGAGTTTGATGCAAGTCTGATTAAATAGCATTAGGGTCATTCGTCACACTTTCGGACGAAAGGAGGTTGGCAGATGTAGGAACAGGCACGGTGATCGTGATGGCCCCTCTAGGGGCAGCCAGGCAGCATGACCGAGTGGCTGTGATGGGTTTGTGTAAGTCGCAGAGGGACAATGTGTGTGTTGGCAATCAGGAGCTGAGAAGTGGAACCTCCTAGTCACTGGTCAGCAGGAGATCAGATAAATGCATTAAATATTAGATCAGTTTTTATTAATTATAACTATAAAACTGGGAGATCATTCTAAGAGTATTCAGATTTCCTTTTTTCATTATATATGCAGGATAAGACAGAATGTCTTTAAAATATACTTAAAGGTTTATTAAGATGTTCTTTGATAGTTTTCTCAATTGTGGATCTTGTTCTTTTAGGTTATATGATTATGTATACGATCTGAAAAACCCCTAACTTTGAAATTGTCTTTAGATTAAAATACAATCATCCATTTTTGCGCACTGGATTATTTCCCAAATGTTTTTTTTTTATTTTCCCCTTTGATTGTTTAAACACTAACTGTAGTGTTATTGTCATATAAATATTGTCAAAAAAAATAGATCTTTTTAAGAAATTTTTATGCTTTCAATGAGTTAAAATTTAAAATGTACATAAATTTTGCAGAAATAAAAACATTTGTTGTTCAATTGTATTATCTTAATTTTAATAAAAATAACAATTTTTTGGGGGTGGTGATGATGAGTGTCTCAGGTCATGGGCCTTTCCAGTAGATCATGAGACACTCAGGTTTCGGGCTCTTCCACTAGTTAATAAGGGGCTCAGGTCATGGGCTCCTCCAGTACTTCATGGGGGTCTTAGGTTACAGGCTCCAGTAGATTATGTCGGTTCCAGTAGGTCATAATAGTCTGAGGTTATGGGCACCAGTAGGTCATGAGGATCTCAGGTTATGGGTTCCAGTAGGTCATAATGGTCTGAGGTTATGGGCACCAGTAGGTCATGAGGATCTCAGGTTATGGGTTCCAGTAGGTCATAATGGTCTGAGGTTATGGGCTCCAGTAGGTCATGAGGATCTCAGGTTATGGGCTCTAATAGGTCATGGTGGTCTGAGGTTATGGGCTCTAATAGGTGATGGTGGTCTGAGGTTATGGGCACCAGTAGGTTATGAGGATCTCAGGTTATGGGCACCAGTAGGTCATGAGGATCTCAGGTTATTGGCTCCAGTAGGTTATGGTGGTCTGAGGTTATGGGCTCCAGTAGGTCATGAGGATCTTAGGTTATGGGCACCAGTAGATCCTGAGGGAGCTCAGGTTATGACCTAACTACCCACAGAGTGTGAGTGTTACTCCCACATAGCCCTTCACTCTGTGCTGTGGAGGTCACGACCCTACAGTGTTCTGGTCACACTCGCGAAGAGGATGGAGCCTCACACCAGGGATGCTGCCTCAGCCTTACCGTGTTCCAGGCTCCCCACTGGACCCAGCTCGTCCACATGGAATTCTCATCTGGCCTGGTGGGGTGGGGGGGGAGGGGGCATCTATATTTGAGCTCCAAGCGTTTGCTGTTCCTGTGGAGTCAGCTGCATTGGGGGCCGCGTAACCCGAGACAGGCCTGAACTCACTTCCTCACTTCAGCCCACCTCAGACACCAGCCCTCCCCCTTCCCCCCGCCCGTTAGCCCACACCCTGCCACTCCCTCCTTAGAGGACAGGCGGAGAGGACGGCGGAGAGGGACTAGCTCTCCTTTCATCGCTCCAGGACACATCTTCTGCCAGAGAGGCCTGACAGGCAGATCTTGCTTGCTTGGTGCCCATCGGTTGCCCTACAGGTAAGAATCCCGCAGGGCAGACTTGGGGGCAGGGGGGGCAAGGGGGGGGGTTGGTAAATGTAGGCGACAGCTTGGGGTTTTGCAAGTAGCTGGTATTGAGTTACGTGCAAGTGGCTGTGGTTGCGTGCAGCTAGGAGACAGAACGCAAGACTAATTCCGTTTGAATTCACAGGAAGGCAGACGTGCCACGCGTGTGTGAGGCGGTACCAAAACAGGTCCAGAGCAGCGTCTTATGGTGTATGCATGGCTCAGTCATGTATGGGGGGGTCCCATTTAACATTGCTTTTCCAAAGAGAGAAATATCATTAGTTCTCTGTTGTCATGTGAACACTGTTACCAAACGCTCGACTCTCTGAGGAGCTGGAGGTCTGTTGTAGTGCACAAGGCACCCCCACCCCCAGTGGCTCTGACCCCCTCCAGGAATAGGACGAGCTGTGAGCTGCACTGGTCATGACAGTTTGGACCACGGCATTTTGGATGTAAAACAGCGAGAAGCAGAACTGGACCAAAAGATGTTTCTCTTGAGTGGAGAGCCAGCATGAGTCAGCCATCATCTCACCCCGGGAACGTAAACGCAGCGTGATTCATCACCTCATATAAAATTTCCTATTACACCTCCAAGGGACACAAGCTGGGACAGTAATAGCCATTAGAGTCATGAAGCTCAGAGCTGAAAACAAATGACCCAAATCACAAAGAACGAGGGCACCGCGTCTGCAAGCTACCCTAACCGTTTCCTCATTGGTCATGTGGACAGCATGTGACTAAGATTTGCTTCCTGATTGGCCACACCAGAAGCTGTCACACTGTGGGAATTGATGGGTCAGTTTCCCCAAAATAAAGCTTTCTATGGCTGTTTCATGGTGCCATGATTTCACTACCCTCTTCTTCAATCTGCCATGAAACATACAGAGCAGATGATGCTACTTTCACCCCTGAAACAGGTTTAATATCCACTATAGTTTGATGAGCACCATGACTCAGATGAGCCTTTATTCAAGGTTCTGAAGACTTTTCTCTGCTGGTATGTATTATATTTCCTAACTGTCATTCAATTTTACAATTAAGTGTATTACAATGAAAGATACTTGCTGACCTCAAAAGAAGAAATCATCAAACAAGATGCAAAACACCAAAGTCTCCTTTTTGGTCCCTGCTGAACGTCCCTAAATCGGTCACTTCCTCGGTCATGGTGGATTTCGCTCTGTGAGGAGAAGCTGATGTCCTGATGGCTGAACACATGGTACTAGGTTTGGGCGACTAATCGCCACAAAATAATGGAAGCATTCTTTCTGATGGTCACTGACAGCAGGTGTGCTTAGCACACAGAGAGAGCTGGTCTTTGAGCATTAGCCCCCAGCAGCTTGAAATCTGATTTCTGGAGCTTTCTTACGCAAGCCAGGGAGGACTTCCCAGTGGAATGGTGGAATGCACCAGCAGAAACACACACATGAAGGGTGTGAAAATGACAGCATGGCTCTTCAGTGCTTCCCCGTCCTCTGGGGCACCTGACCCCCGTCCCCCACCCTGCTCCCTCGCTCTCCAGGGGCTTGGTCAGGGGTGCCCTAGGGGCAGGGACCTCCATGCAGCTCCCGTGGACTAAAAGATTTATCCCCACGCCATGTGTTGCTAAATGCAGCCTGGAGAGCATGACGAGATTAGATCGCCGACCAGGTCGAGTTTCAGCACCAAGGCCCTGCGCCCCTCTGACCCCCCCCAGCCCTCCATTGGTCCAGGAGACCCATCGACCTTTCCCACACTGCAGTGGGGGTGCCCACGCCTCTCAGCAAAGACCTGTTACTAACCCCAGGGTTTTCCAGAGTGTTTCTGACATTTATCACAGCAGCATCATGAACTGACTTCTAACCAAGAAGCTTGCATGTCCTGGTTAGAGAACGATACTTTAATTACCGCTGTGTCATCGTCACACCCTGTAAAACTGTCAACAGGCCTTGTCTCTGTCTGCATGGACACAAGCCCGTTCTCTGAACCATACCACATTTCTAGAATCATCCCTTCTTAAAATATGGTAGAAGAGGAGGAACAACGTAGCGACAGTCCTCACAGGCCACCTTGAGTCTGCCTGAAACTGGTAACGGCTCTGTCACAATAGCTTTGGAACAGCCAGGAAACAACTATTACTATGGAAATAAGGGCTTACGCTGCCCCCAGGTCTTAGTGCCTTAGCATTAGGCTGCTTAGCTGTTTCTTATTCAGAGCGATTTACAGTCTTGCACTCATTGCTAACAGCTGATGGTTTACTGAAGTCGTTATTCATGGGTACAACAGCAGGGCTTGCTGGGGCCACAATGTCATCATTTTATTACCATGGCTCACATTATGTTATAAGGTTAACATTTTAGGGTAGTCTTTCTCGCTGTCCCTCTCCCAGTCCATCCATCAGTCTGTCTCTAAGTCCACCTGTCTCTGTCTCTCGCTGTCTCTTTCTCCCTTTCTCTCCCTGACTATCTCTCTCTCTCTCTCTCTCTCTCTCTCTCTCTCTGCCTGTCTCTCACTCTTTCTATCCATCTCTCTCTCTCTTTTCTGCCCTGTTGTTGTTGTTGTCATGCTCGGCATATCTGGGTGTTCGGTGTCTTCACCGGTGGAATGTTTAGAAAACCCAGTCTAATTCTGTCATGATGAAAAGCAGCTGGGGGTTTTGGGAGGGGGGATTGTGCAGCTGAACTAATTTAAAGAACAACAACCCAGCATGCTTTGCTGCAGAAGTGATGAGAGAGAGAAGCTTTGGCAAATGGTGGTGTGTGCCAGTGTCTTCCAAACGGGTGCTCAGGGCCCTCCAGACAGTCTGTATTTTTACTGAGAGCTGGGAGTGAGCAAAAACGTGGACTGTGTGGGATCCCCAAGGAGCAGGTTGGGAAATAATGGTGTGTACAGACACGCACACAAAATCACACGGCCACAGACACGCGGCACTGCTGCTGCTCACAGCCACCCTGTCCTCGGGTTTCCTTCAGTATATCAGCTCAAACTAGCATCGCCGGTCAGAGCTCAGGCTGCCACATCCGTGGGCGAAGCGCCTCACCTCTGTTTCACGTCATTAGAGCGTCATTGAATTAACATTGAGTTTAGCTGAAAGTCGACCCTGCTTCTGCCAGCCTGCTTCTCAGATGAATAAATGCATTAAAATATCTTTATCTGAAGCAGAAGTGGTTCCCTACAGTAACAGTGACCCCCTTCCCCCAGGTAACAGTACATCCTGGCATCCTGTTAGGAAGTGCAGTGATTTTGTTATGAAATTTAAGCGAAGCGTGTTAGACTCTCTTATGGTGAGCTATGCTCCTAACTGACTTTCCTCTTCCCTCCTTACCATAAAGAGAGAGCTGCGCTGATTGGAGAGTGTCGTCCCTGGACACAGAAACATGGCAGGGTGAGTGGAGCAGTGTGGTTGGCAGTATGACATCACAGCATTATGACATCACGGTATTATGACATCACGCACATGGTGACCAACCGTTTAATGGCTCCTTTCTGCCATCGGAACAGCAGTCATGTTATCATCCCACAAACCCACACCAGGTTCACATCCACACTCTGTGACCCTTACATTGACATCTGCTTAAAGCACACAAAGGGACAATGCTGATGGTAATTACAGTCTCTTGACTATGACTGTGGGATACCCCCTTCTCCCCAGGGTCCAGAAGAAGACCACCAGCATGTCCCTGACCATCTCATCCTGCTCCAGGGAATCATCCAGCAGTGCCGTCATCCAGCAGCAGCGGTCCAGCCTGGTGCAGCCACTCAGAATCAGCCCACAGAGGGTACCCTCATGCCCCCTCCTGTCACATGTGTCCATCTGTCATTTTTTAGTGTTGTCTTCTAAAACCACTATCTTATGTGACAACAGTGGCTCTCAAACTTGATGCCGGCAGTGCTTTAACCATGGCTTGAGTTGTCATGGGATGGGTAATTGTCACTCGTGTAACGGTACTGAGAATAACAGGGGTACTCACCTGGGAGACTGGTCGATCCTTCGGGTTGATCTCCTCCTGCCCCCCTCCCTCTGCGAATTTTATTGCTCAACCACTAGATTTAACCCAGAACTCGAGACGACTCTAGTTCTTTAAATGTGACACCACCTGCTGGACTTTATCTCTGTTGTTTTGCAAGTTACCCAGTAAGATACTTAAACATTCACATAACACATAGAACGCCAGATGATGACAAAGTGATATTTTTAGTGAAGAGATTTATTCATATTAGTCATTTGCCACACACGGACCAATTCGAAACCGAAAGCCGTTGCCTAGGAGACAAACTTGGAAACGGGTCCAAAGACAGAGAACACATTCCAGCAAATGTGTATTTTTTAGCCTGTCTGTTGTATGACGATCCTGCGGTTCACCGAGAACTCAGCATCCTGCAGTGTAACAGACAGATGCTTTCCGACCTGCACTCATCCCTGCTTGTCTCTTCTTCTGCAGTTTTGTATAGTTCAGGTTAATTTCGGTTGTTTAAAAGGCAGTGTGGCCTGGCAACTAATGGAACGTACTGGTCATCTGTGTCAGTGATAAACAGACCCATCTTGCTGTGCCGGTATCGTCTGAACAGAGGCTATGCTAAGATGTGCTGGGAGTGGGGGCACCTTTGAGCAGAATCCTTGTTTACAAGAGGACGCTTTTCTGTCAGTGCCTCTGTGGAGACAGCCGAATCTCTGCCCTAAGAACAGTTTTAGCTCCTGAGTCATAAAGAGGCATCGCATGGCAGAGGGGCGGCCGGGAGAGCGACACTCCGACACCTGATCGCTCGCTGATTGCCCGGCTCTCTGTTCTCTGCACTTCAGGAGTGACAAATGTGCGGAAGCCTGCCCGTCTGCCCCAACCGCCACCTTACCTCTGCTACTGCTTTTTCTTTCCAGACGCAGAGTCCGTCCTGCAGCCAGAATTATTCTGGGAATGGGGGGGTAGCCCCAACGTTTGTAAAGGTAATGCTTTTTCTAACATCAGTGGGCTGAGATGGAACGCTTCTTCAGTTCCCCCTAGTGGTGAAAAAGTCAACTGTCCTGCAAATGTGTCTGGGGTGTGGGTGGGGTTTTCTGAGCTGTGACTGTGGCACATTCCTCCCGCCTGAGCTCAAGGCTGCTTAGCTATTGCTGCCCTGGGTCTTTGGCTAACATCTTATCAGGATACCTGGGCTGTTTAGTAATTAATCACAGTCACGACTGATGACTATCAGTGATGTATCAGTGATCAGCTGAGCGACCTGCCCTATAAACACAATTATGGCCCTCTACTGTCCCTCTAGCGCCTTCACAACATCAGCACTGAGAAGGGCCAGCTGGTGGTTCTGGAGTGTCGGATCCGTGGGACGCCACCCCTGCAGGTGTCCTGGTATCGCGAGAATGAGCGGATCATAGACTCGGCTGACTTCCGCATCCTCAGGAAGAGTGAGTCCGGCAGGCCGAGAGGTCGGACAGGCGGCGTGGGTCTTAGGGCTGGTTCATGCTTACTGCAGACACAGATGAGCCGTACAGCCGGACCGTCCGTGTTCCTGTACGTTTTGTCTTGTACCAACGCTCCAGGCCACCACGTACTTCCATGTCAGGGCTGGGGTGGCGCTGTAGAGCAAAGCTGCTCTTAAGTCATGTTTATGACACATGGAATAAATGTTATATTAAAAAATAAATATTTTACTAAAACTAGCAGCGCATTATATATTACACTATGCAAGGAGATAGGTGGGTATATTGCCTTATTTAAGTTTTTAGCCATCTTGGAGCCTTTATAATCTCATAGTGAGGAATCATATAAATGCCAGTATTTCCAGATTTCCTCAGGCAACCTTTCTTTTCCACTAGCCCTGTTTCTTTTCAGTTTGATCATTGAGGCTACAAAAGGTTTTTATATACAATCTTTGCTCCGATCTCCTTTCTAACTTCCTGTTATTTTTCCCTGGCCAATGAGTGATGGAGCCTCATTTGAGTCACTGATTGAACTAGCCGCGTTGTTTCGATTTTCAAGTGGTGCACGCCTGTGTACGTGGCCCTCAAACGTGACTTCCAGGCCCGACCTCAGTGACGAAAATTACGCCACATCGACCGCATTCTCTGCGGCACACCCGCAGTAAGTATGAACCAGCCTTAAGAGTTAGGGTGCTAGAAATGCAGCAGTGCTGCCAGTCAAAGTTAAACAGTCAGGTAAAACAAAGACCTACGATCAGCAGTAATACAGCACAGTGTTGCACACTGCCTGCTGTGAAGGGCAATCAGAATGACCCCTGACCTTTCCTATTTTCCCCAGAAGCCACTTCTACTTCTGTCCCCGGTAAGTGTGCCACCCCAAGTCCTCCGAAAGCAGGTGCGAGGTCCGCTTATCTAGGCCTTACATTCTATCAGTCTCGCCAACATTGGACATTAATTCCCTGCCGTTTCTCCCATAATGCACAGAGGAACTGTGTACCCTCGTCATCACTGAAGCTTACCCAGAGGATTCTGGGATTTTTAAGTGCACAGCAAGCAATCAGTTCGGGGAGGTGTATTGCAGTGCTCTCCTGGAGGTGTATACAGGTGGGTGATGCTCTCTGCCATAAAGATTGCTTTTACTGGTCCATGACATGCAGAAAGGTATAGGAGCAAAGACATGCCCTGATGTGGCCCCATGGCGCCCTCTTCAGGCCTGGATGATTCTGGATTCACTGAGGAGCATGCACCCGGGGTGTCCACAGGGCAGGAACCTGACGACTTTCCATCATTTCTGCTGGACACAGCAGGGATTCCTCCTCCAGAGTGGCCCGAGAGCCCTGAGGAGGAGACCGCCCCCCCACTAGACACGTGAGTCCCATGTATAAGCCCTAGACCAAGAAAAGACAGGGTCATGCTACGGGTTGATCATCCTCCACCTTCACTCAAGTAAATTGGCATAGTCGATTTTACTGGGAGTGCAATTGCACCCTCTACTGGTCAGTAGGGGTGCAATTTGAACTTAATATTGAACTTAATATGATCAAATGCTATTTGAACATTTTAAGTTCAACAAAATGAAACTATAAAGTTATGTTTGAAAATATGGCCTGTGCCAGTCATATCAGTATGTAGTAATAATTTATTGTAAATGCATTTACTATTTTTTTAACAAATGTATTTATTGGGATGAATTTATTGAGCTCTCGCACATTGCACCCCTTGGGGTAAAAGTCTGGAGCCGTCTATGTAAGTCGTGTGTTTTTATACGTGCCGTTGGGTCCATGGATGTAAGTGACTTGGAAAACATGCTCTGTCTTAAGGATCCTTCTAAGTATTGCCCTTAAATGCGCTTTTTCACCTATGAAACCAAGGTAACTGTCAATAATAGTCCGCTCACTTCAGGGGAGATTTCTGCCTTTATATTCCTCCGCTACCAGGACCGCCAGAGGGAGCAATTACGTAATACTACATTGTGAGATAGTTTAGTTATAATTTCGTGACCCAGGCTATTGAAAAACGCGAGCGTTATTAACATTTTCTCATTAACGATGGACATTTAAGAGCATGAGCGCTGCGGTAAAGCTGCTGAGTGTCCGGCGTAAACGACCGACTGTAAATGGGGGGGCGGATTAAGCTCCGGCCACAGCCCCTCCGCCCCCGGGGCGCCCGTTTATAAGCCACGGAGGCATTCACGGTGCTCAGTCAGAGAGGTCTGCTTCCCCTAGCCGATACGCTTGGTGCAGTGAGGTGGAAACCCGGTGCCCCCGCATAGAGATCGGCGCTGCCACGGGCAGTGGGAGCGCACATCCCAGCAGGTGATCGCAGGCTTTCCACACCCCGCCGGCCGTCCAAAGGTAACTCCTATACTCAGCCTCATCCCTTGTCGGGGTTACTTTGTACGGCTTTTATGATGGATAGGGCTCAGCTGTTTACACTGGGTGAAATGGTGACTTTAGCTCGATTATAATGGCTGCTCCTGTCTTGTAAATGTTGCTTCGTTTAGCCGTTTTTATTTTCCTTCTCTAGTTGGTGTTAGTCAGACTCAGAGTTATAAGGGTCAATCTGACAGCCGGGCATTTATCCTTTTCCTGCCTTATGGTTATTTTATATGGCTTTGCATATTTATAAGCGTTCCGAGTCCTGCATGGCAGTAATTCCCATCCCAGTCAGCAATGGCGTTGGAGAGAGTTTGATATGGGGGGAACTCGACTCAATTATTTAAATGTAAAGTTCCGTTTTTGATTTTTTTTTTTTGGTGAGATTAAGTCAATTAAAAATTTGGAGGGTTCACGTTCCTCCTGTGCCCCTGCCACTCCCCGCTTTTGCGCTGTGTTTTTGATGCCTCATCTCTGTCTAAAAACTGCTGGTTATTTAAAATCTCTTTTCGTAAATTAGCTGTTGCAGATGTCCAGGTGGCGCTTGACCACACATTTTCGGGTTTGGGGGTGATTTGGGCAGTCCCATGCATGTGATTCTACAGACTTCCTGAAGTCCCACAACTGGACCCTCTTTATAAACCTTTTTTTTATTGTCACTTCTTGGTCTGTCGAACTTTCAGCAATTTCTACAAACTGGAGCTGCTGTGCTTCAGTGGGAGGTTACCCTGGAAATAACTGTATCTCACTGTCAGAACATCCCACAGTAAGCGGCTATATTATGGGAACTCGGACTCCCACAAATGATGAGCGTATGCCAGCTAGTTCTGGGACACAGATAAGCATTTAATGCCCTCATGGGATGCGCATGGCAGACAAAAGGAGCTTTATACTGGGTGTGGTGGTGGCTTACTGCTGCTCTTGCAGTGGAGGTAGCTTTTTGGCGAGTTATTGGTGAGTCTTTGGCAGTGAGTAACACAGTGCCCTGCTAAGGTGACCCCAGAGAGGCACACCGCATGAGCATGGGTTAAGTGCCATCAACCTCACCTTTGGCCCTTATCTGCAGTTGTGATGTGATGCTGTATTTTTGTCGGAGGACGCTGGACCGTGACGGGTACTGGGTGTCTGGCTATCCCTGCCTTGGCAGCGGTAAATCTCCGTGATCCTCTTCATACACCTGTTGCTCCCAGCGATCGTGTTGAAGGTCATGAAGGGTACTTCTACAGAGCTGAATTCAACGAGAGCTGGGTTTGGCATGGGTCTCGAATGCAGCTGAACACTTTTCTGCTCCATCCGTTAACTTCCTTGGCTTTGTAGCTCTTCAGCTGTGACAGGATATAAGGTGATAACATGGCATGTATATCTCATGGCAATATGAGGCAGGCCTGCTAGAAGAAGGACAGGCAGCATAGATGCTGATTGTTCAGAGTAGCTAGTGGAAATGACACTTGACTGATTACCAGACCTCTGGGTCCAACTGTGGTTGCCCTTAATGGATGGACAAGGACTCCCATGTGCGTCAGTCCCTCTGACCCAATGGGGTGGGGGGGAATTCCTGTGAGGGGGAACCTGGATAGATTCCAGGGTAGCTGAATGGGGTCTGACGTGAAGAGCTCCAAGTTCCCCTCCCCTCAATGGCCTCAGTGTGTCTGTCTCAGACCCTCTCAGTCTCCCAGCACCCCCTGCACACCCACTTGGCTTGTTATGTAACTGTTTGTTAGTGGAGGTTTAAAAGTAGGATTAGGTTCAACCTTGCTTCCTCATCCAGTTTCTTGCAATAATCCTGGAAACTATTGGTGGCTGTGGTTGAGTCATTAGGTCAGGTGGTCTGTCTTGGCTCAGAGTTGGTACTTCAGGGATGGTCCCATTTCTAAAGGAGTGTGTGTGTTGCATTTCAGTTTATTCCCACCAGAAGCCTTGCCAGCTGATTAGCACCTGCTATGAAAAATCACAACAGGTTGGAGCAGGTTCCCAGTTTAATCAAGAACTTTACTTCTGTGCAGCGGGACCTTACTATAGTCCTGAACATAACCTTGAATGTTCTGCTGAACAGCCTGTAGTTTTATTACTAGTATGTGTAGCCACTTTTTTTGACGAAAGATTAAATATCTATTATTTGATACCATTTTGTGCTGTTCCTTTGGAAATAATACCTTCATTCCTTTCTGGTGTCCAGGTCCTCAGAGCAACAGAAACTAAGTGAAGGTGTGCGTGGGACAAACTACAGTTCCCAGGCCCAGAGTCCCCAAGAGGCCTGTGCTCCCACCTCACCAGCCGAAGTCAAGGAGCTCTCGCCGAAGACACCCACCAGTCCCCAGCGGCTCGGCGACCAGCACCATTCTGGCAGCATGAGTGTGGCCGACCTGCCTACCTTCTCTCCCACCCTCTACCCTCCCAGCGCTTTCAACTACGAGCGCCCACGTCACTTCATCCAGTCACAGCCGCACTTCCAGGCTCCCAGCTATGAGAGTCTACAGGCCAACGGCAGCATCAAGACTTCCCCTTCGTCTTCCAACTTGAGCTCTCCGGTGTCCACTCCAGGGCCTTCTTCAACTTCCTCCATGCCAGCCTCTCCATCCCATGCCCCGATGCGCTCTAGCATTACACTAATCCCCAAAGTGACCAGTGCCCCCCCTTCTCGCACCTCCCCCGTTGCCTTCCTCTGCTCCGTCCTGCCCTCCCAGTCATCTCCTCAGCCCGGTTCCTCTCACTCTCTCACAACCCCGACATCCCTCCCTAAGCTGGTCACTCTGCAGTCTGCACCACCTCCATCCTCCTCAGCCAACTGTTCTGCGTATACCCCCACCACAGCAAGCTCGTCCCTCCCCAAGCCTGCCACCCCCTCTCAGCAAACTGGTACCCCATCTCCGTTTGTGTCCCTCCCAGCCAGCTACAAAGGGACCTCCAACAGGTACATCCAGTAGTGCATTTTCCTGGCATCATGTGTAAGATCCAAAGCCTAGGTTTAACTTCAGTCTTTAGCTTATTGGGCACCACAGCTAATGTTGGGGCTAGCCTGTGTTATTAGCATGTGTGCCTTCTGGTTCCCCAGTAACCCCAAGCCCATCCTCAAGAAAACAGCCCCCCGGCCAGTGTCTCGGTCCACGGATGAGGAGATACAGGGATCTAAGGATGCGCTCATCCAAGACCTCGAGAAGCAGCTACGTAACAAGGAGGCCCGCAGGAGGAACAGCCAGGTATCCGTGAGGTGCATGGGGTCTACTTGAAATGAATCTCCCTATAGCCAGTTGGCTTTCCTGTTCAAGATGGAGGTAGGTTGCCGAGTTTGGCATCTTGCTGATGTTTCTCTGCACCATGTTCTGCAGAAACAGTCATATGAAGAACGTATGGCACGGAGACTGCTGGGTCCTGACAACGCCGCCTCCGTCTTCGAGCTGGACAAGCATCCAGAAGTGCAGCCGGATCAGGTATGGTCTCACTCGCTGTCTATCAGCTCATCTCAGGATCTCAAATACAGCCTTGTGTGTCAGCCCTTGTTTTTTAGTTAAACATTAAGGCTCAAGGCCTTAAATGGGTAACTTGGTACTGCTTTGTGATTAACGTCTTTAAGTGAACATCACTGTGTTTCAGTGGTGATGTCTCAAATGACCCACCAACTAAGATCCTTGTATGGAGGGGTTCTTATGGTCTCATCGGTTCTGTATGTAAGGTTCCCTTTCCACTGTCATTTTAAGATGGAAATGTTTTCCGGGGGGGGCTACGTCATGGGAGATAAACCACATTCCCGTTCTAAGAACGGGGACAGAAATAGCAGGTGTGACGTTCCTATGTGGTGGTGGCATTCGGAATGTGGCATGGGACCTGGACCAGGACCACCCACCCATGCACGCATTTGCTCTATCTGAACTGAAAGCAAGCCCCCCTGTCCTCTGGTCAAAGGTTCATCTGTTTGCAAACAGCCATGCACCTTGGAACAAGACCTTAATGAAATTTAGTTGAATTTGCCATTTGCACAAGTATGAGTACAAGTACACTGGAATTGTTCAGCTTTCTCATCTTGCTCTTCTTCGAGACATACAGGTGAGAGCAAAGCTTGAGGTCGGAGCATAGTGTCAGCCATTTTTGGAGCACCATTGGTTTACATTAATGCCGAGTTGCCTGGTTTGTCATCCTGAAGGTCTTTTACAGTCTAGTGTCATTCTTTCTGAATCCACATTGTTTAAGGAGTCTCCCATGTATTTGCAGCCAGAATCACCAGAGGGACGACACTCAGGAGGAATATGGTAAGTGACCCAGCAACTGGAACTTTCATATCTCTCAGACAAGTACTTACTTTCCGGTTACATCCTTCAGCTCAGCCGTCTACTATTTCGTAAGTGTGCTATGTCAGACTTGGGGTCAGATTCCTGACACCAGCATGAGTGACATCCATTGGGAGGTGCCGTAATGGGTACAGATATAGTAACTGCTCTTTGAATCGTGAACTCCAGGCTACTCCTGAGGGTATGTCAGTGTTTAGCATGGTGCTTACTGGGTCCAAGTATTCAAATCCAAATCAAGCCTGATTGTTGTTGACAGGAAGTTGACTTTGGGTGGGAATTGGACTCAGTTTTGTGGTTCTCTGGGTCTGGCAGGAGCAAGCAGTATTCTGGGACTGATGGCAATGAGGGCTCCGCCATCCAGGAGAAGTGCTATGCCCCCCGTTTCCTGCAGGTACCCCAGGACCTCACTGTGGAGGAAGGTCGATTCTGCAGGATCGACTTCAAGGTACACCATCATTCTCGAGGGAGAGTCGTGTAATAAGATCATGGTCCCATCAAGCTACTTGACTTTGGGTTTATTCTGTCAAGGTGGGGGGTCTGCCAACACCTGATGTGACGTGGTACCTGAATGGCAAGGCAATCCGCCCTGATGACTACCACAAGATGCTGGTATGCGAGAAGGGCCTGCACTCCTTCATCATCGAGGTAGTGACTGTGCACCACGCAGGCATCTACGAGTGCGTGGCCAGGAACCGTGCCGGAGAAAGCAGCTTTTCGATGCGCCTGGATGTTCTTGGTAAGGCTTGGGCCTGGTGGGCGGGGCACAAGGTTGCCACTAGGAGAGGGCGGGATCTATGCAAGCCGGCCGAGCGTGCTGTTTGACTGTAATCCAGATGGTTGGGGTCACTATTTATCTGGGATGCTGAACATCACACCTCATGTCTTCAGAAGCATGCCAGTGAGATCCAGTCTTCAGCGAACCATATACAAGCAGTTCTTGACTTGGGGAAGTAACTGGAATTGTTGAAGAAAAATATCAGATGCATAGAGTTTATGGAAGCGTTAACACAAAAAAAGTACATTCTTGTATGTAAATTTGACTTCCGTAAGAGCTGGTGAAATAGATGGCTTGTGTCAGTTGAGAACTGCCTGTATGGAGGTTTATAGATTTTAAACTTGTGCAGATGGTAATGGCTTTGAAGTCAGAAGTGCCTCTTGTCCTTAGTCAGATGAAGCTTCCATGTGTGGGATCACAGTAGCTTTGGAATAGAGCTCAAATTTTAGTGTGGGGAACCCTCGATCTTTGTCATGACCATGTTCCTGTGCTGCCGCCCCCAGCTCAGGAAGCGTTCTGTTGTCCACGGTTCGTACAGAAGATGAAGAATTTGCGTGTCATGGAGGGGGACACGGTGCGGCTGGAGTGTAAGATTTTGGCTTCTCCAGCTCCCCAACTCTACTGGAAGAAGGACAAGGAGATGCTGAGCCTGAATCCCAGCAGGATGAGGTGGGACATTAAATGTTTGACTGCGCACAGCTACACATTGACCAAAGGTTTGGATTACACCAAGATGCTTATGCCCACAGCATGATACTCAGGTGAAACAGCCAACTATATCAAAATGCTCTTCTGATTTTCAAGTACTGTAGCTGTTCCTTATTGTGCCCCCTGCTGGCCATGTAGAGTGTAGCTGCCCTGACACCTTGCTGCCTTGCAGCCTGTACCAGGACAACACTGGCCAACTGTGTCTGCTGATAGATCAGGTGGAGAAGACTGATGCAGGCTGGTACACAGTGTCCGCCATCAACGAGGCTGGCATGGCCAGCTGCAACGCCAGGCTGGATGTGGGAAGTAAGTGGCAGATGATGCTGTCAAACACAGAACAGAAGCAAATGGTTGCTATGGACTGGTGGCAGTCATGTATTTGCATCAGGAACAAGCCAGATATTCTGCAGTTGCTGTCTGTCCAACTAGCTGGGATGTCAGTACTGCAGCCTGGCGCTGTGCTTTTCTCCCAGAAGATACTGGGAATACTGGTTGGAGTAGAGCAGCAGATCATGTGGCTTACCTGGGCTACATTCAGATGTATCCAAGCTCCCCCCCCCCCATGAGAGCTACAGAGAAAAGTCTCTAACAATGTTGCACTATGACAGTTTGACACCTCAGTTCTGGGCCATGTGTCTGAGTCGGGCAGCCTGACTTTTGATCTCCAAGTTGACACTGGATCCTCCACTCGCGTATTGTGCTGTGATGTGGGGCCACAGCTGTGAAGTGGAATTTAGACTCTGGGGCCACAAGGGAAAGGCTCTTTCGGGTGTGGGGACCTGAAACTGGATCTGGGCTGTTTTGGGTTGTGGCCAGGCTAAGCCTGGGAGATGATCCTGCTGTGGTGTCCTAATCATGGTGCCATAACCATGATGCCCCCCCCAGGGCCAGGGTACTCCTAATGTATGGAATGCATAATGCTCACTCTAGTTCTCTAGCACCATCTTCGCCTTTTCATTCCATTATGGCATACAGGGAATATCACACCATATGTAGTTTCCACACTACAGTTTCGTGGGTGTTTTATAGTGCACTATTTAGTGAGCACACTACATGACTGTCACCCTATATAGTGCATTATTTAGGGAATAGGGCGTGGTTCTTGAATAGCCAGTGTAGCAGTTTGCCCTCCTTTCTTTCCCTTCCAGCTCGCTTAAACAAGGTAGCCCCTGCTGGCCAGCATGTGAAACTGCGCCCCGTGACCAGCCAGCTGTCGTCCCTGAGCGTAGATGGCACCCAGCGGCAGCCGGCCCCCCTGTATGAAAGTGAAGAGCTGTAATGCCGCTTGCTGGTTTCACGTGCCGTGGTGCACACCTGATCTCGCTGCCAGTGGTCAGATGCACTTTAGGTTACTGACGGTCATCTACAGACCTTACCTGCCGGGCTGTCCCGCCCACCTGCTGTCTGTTCAATGTCACTGTTACTGTCTGACTTTTTATGCTGGGTGTGACGCTAGAATCATGTAAACTAATTGCTTTTTAATTTTCTTAGAAACAGCTCTGGGCATGTTGTTCTGCCTCCAACCCACATTGTACTCGTGTCCCACAGTTGGCGCTGCCTGTGTATGTTGTGAAAACTGAGTGTCTGAGTAAATTAATAAAAATCTAATCTCTACTGGGCCTTGCCTGCTGCCTTTCTCTGAGTGCTGCTTACCCACCGTACCTCTGGGGGGGCACTGTCCCCTGCCTGTCAAAGTGCTGTGCTGCTCAAGATAGTCTGAACTATAGACCAATCAGTTCCGTCTACGCCAGCCTCTCTCAAAATGATTTGGACAACAAGTAAATGGCAGCCTGTAATTAAGCAGATGGAGGAATTCTAGCAGGCTGAACATTCATCTCTGGTTTGAACAGGAGCCCTTGGACAAAAAGTTTAATTATGGCTACTTGAGGACAGGCAGTAGACCTATTTATTTGTATTAAAAATTATCAAAAAAAAAAGTACAGACTCTGATACTAAAACAAAGGCTTCCGTCCTGCCTTTATCTCCACATTAGGTTGTTCTCTGTCCCATAATTACACACACGTCTGGTAACGACGACAGACTTGCCAAGGCTGAAGGGAGCTCCAAGAACAGTCTAGTTAAAACAATGCAACAACAAAAGTACGTCTCTCTTAAAAAGGTGCGCCGTAAACAAGATTCGAAGGGACAGCCCTGCACTTCCTCATAGCGGAGGAAGCTGGTAATCCTCTAAGGTCGACTATGGCTTTTGGAACTGTGGCCTTCATGATTCCGTGCTGGCAGGAAACGCCGCCCCCTCCGCAAGTCTGGGCCAATCAAATTTCCACATCGCTTTCCTTGTCGTTGTCATGGTCACCATCATAGAATTCATTGGATGCCTCTGGCCTGGTAAACAAACATAATGGATCACAATCTGTTTTAGCAGCAAAACCACCTAGGTCAATATAAAAGAGAGGGGGGGGGGACCTGTACCTGGAGTAATTGTCCTCAGAGCCCCGCTCATCTGGGTCCGCCTCATCCGACCGATCGTAGCTGAGCAGGTCTGAGGGCACGTCGTGGATCTGAACGCTCGGCGCGTGATTCAGCATTTTCAGGTTTTCAAAGACCGTCTGTCGGATCTGCTCCAAGTACTGCACAGGAAGCGGGGGGGGGTGTCAGACCTGGGGATCAGGACTCTCCAGGACCAGGATTGACAGCCAGGAACATAGGCAGCACTATAGGCAAAGGGAGGCCCAGCCCAGTGAGACACCCCGGACAGCAGGCTGACCTGTCTGGAGTTCTGGTTCTCTATCCTGGTGCTGACATCAGGGTGGAGTGTGAAGTCTGGGGCAAAGTACTCAAAGTACTCTGTGGGAAATGGGTAAAAGAGAGAGGGATCCAAATGAGGAGGAGAAGAACCCACAATGCAAAAGTGTCTGCCATCTTAAACACCTACACGCTAGTAGTAATCAATTTATCATACAGCTTTCATGCTAAAAACTTGCTGGCCTCAACACAGAATATGGTATTAAACAAGCCATGCAAACAGCATCGTAAAGATGGAGGGAAGGCCCTCATCCCAGGGGAGACGCCCTCAAGGCTGCGTGTCACTGGGACTCTCACCGCTGTACGGCAGCTCGTCGCTGATCGACTCCTCCACCAGCAGGGAGGTTTCGTAGGTCCTGAAACAGAGCAACACGCCGCCTGAGCTCATATGGGCTTACCGATGCCGTGTTTCGGCACAAGCTTGCAAGAGTCAGGAACTAAGTTTAAAGTTTTAAAACACCTTTCCGGCAAATTCCAAACAAACCTCCTCTGTGGCTAGGCTAGACCAGAACAGTGAGAGCTAGATGGGACTCATTACAGGTATATTATTACAGTCACTCCTCGCTTAACGACCTACCCATTTAACGACCGCCCAGACTTACGACCAGTCGGTAGTATACGGCGTACTTTGGTCATGGAAATCATCCCACATCTCCCTTCGTGCAACGAAGAGCTACGAGAATGATTCCTGGTCTTAGAGGAATGTCTTACGAGGAGAGGTTAGCGGAACTGAATCTGTTCAGCCTTGAGCAAAGGAGACTAAGGGGGGATATGATTCAGGTCTATAAGATTCTAACGGGTCTGGATGCCGTTCAGCCAAATGACTATTTCAATATTAGTCTAAATACTAGAACTCGTGGCCATAAGTGGAAATTAGCGGGAGAACATTTTAAAACAAATTTGAGGAAGCACTTCTTTACACAGCGTGTAGTCAGAGTATGGAATAGTCTTCCTGCTATTGTAGTGGAAGCTAAAACCATGGGTTCCTTTAAATCAGAGCTAGATAAGATTTTAACAACTCTGAGCTATTAGTTAAGTTCACCCCAAACGAGCTTGATGGGCCGAATGGCCTCCTCTCGTTTGTAAATTTCTTATGTTCTTATGTTCGTCTCAGTCTCCTTCCCGCAGTCGGTCAGTATTCACTACACTAGCATTCATGTTAGCATTCTCCAGAACTACAAATTTATATGTACGTATTTTTATATTCTGTAATATGTTAGAGTTTTGCTAATTAAAATAAGTTGGAGTTTCCTTTAGACATTTTCTCCAGCCAGAATAAATAACAACTATTACCTGTATTTACAGTGTTGTATATTGGAGCTGATTTCCTCTATTCTGATTATTACAGTATATACTACGCTACTGTTTAAACATTTATAAATATACTAAAAACATTATAAACAGTGCATTAAAACTATCTAAAGATGGCTGACACAAACCCACTACCAGTACAGTATGCTGAAATATCGCTAAGAGGCAGTTCCTAACTTGTCGAAACAACAGTCGTAGGAACGGAACTTGGTCGTTAAGTAAGGAGTGTCTGTACTGCTAATTACCTATGCCCCCCACCCCACACCTCCCCCCACCAGGATGCACACTCACCAGCATCTCGCCACGTTGCGGACCGTGTAACCCCCGCCTCCCAGCACCAGCAGGGGGATCCTGAAGCTCTTCACAAACTCCACACATTCCCTGCAGCCAAAGAAGACACATTGTTCCCACGATGCCCCATTTGGTTAATACACACAGCGATCGCATGGCACACATGAGGTCTGGAGGGCGAAGCCTCGAACTGAATATCCTCATGGACCCGACTGACACACTGCAGCCAGGCACCACAAGATGGCGCTGCTGAGGGGACACAGTCACGGCCGCTAGTGTCCTCAGTGAATGTACATCTGCTTGTCACATCCTTCTTGTCTGTTTTGGGTGTGTCTTTCAGGGTCACCAGCTCCACAAATCCCATTCTAGGACTCAGTCGGGATTCGACTGGGCACGATGAGGCACTCTTTCTAAATCCCTTCTGACAGGAAGACCATCAGCAGACCTGACTCTGAAGTTCAGATCCAAGGCTATTTCTGTCATGTTGCTAAAAACCTCAACAGCCATCATCTCAAAATAAATGATGATCAAGACGTTTGTTCATTGCAGGGCTCCACGGCTTGCACACAGGAATAAGACCACAACTGCTTTAAATGATACTACTGAAGTGTCTAGGTGGGTTGATATTCTCACAAAGCTGATATTTTCATATCATGTCCAGAAGATGGCAGTATAGACTTGTGTTGGTGATCATACATCCCAACCAGTGAGACTTACCCATGACCCCTGATGCTAAGGTTAAAGCAGCCAAGCCTGTCGCATCCTAAAGAATCAGCGCCACACTGCAAAAGAAGAGTCATCAATGAGTTCCAGGGGAGAACAGTCGAACTTTATACAGTGCATAACCACCCCTATGTGCCCTTCTCAGCATGGCTGCCCATGAGCCCTTCCCAGCATGGCCGCCCCATGTGCCCTTCCAAGCATGGCCACCCATAGCAGCCTCACCTGCAACACGATGCAGGTGGGCTGATAGAAATCCACCACCTGCTTGATGACGGGCTGGAACAGTTGCCTGTAGCCTGTGAACAAAAACAGGAACATTTGCTGCACTGACAGACTGTTACCATGATAACCACAATAAAGAGCTGCTCTTTGTAATAGTGCTTCATTACCATCGTTATCATTAAAAAACATGTGGGGAGTGTCACCGCAATCACAAAAGTCAGGTCTGAGCATCTGCTGGTGTTAATCCTGCTGATCTTTTACAGGAATAAGCATCAAATGGACCCTACAGGACCGGCCCGGCCCAGGGGCAGGTCCTGGCCATACCACAAAACCACGGTAAACTCACTCTGATCATCAATGCCATCTCGGAGTGGCACATTCAGGCAGTAGTAGCGGCCGCTCTCTGCTCCCACCTCATACATGTCCCCTGCGGGAAGTGTGCACTGTCAGCAATCTCGTGAGTACCCCCACCCCGGCTCCACTGCAGCACTGTCGCATGACCCTACCTGTTCCTGGAAAGAAGTAGTTCCCATACTTGTGGAAGGACACGGTCATGACGCGGTCAGTCAGGTAGAAAGCCTCCTGAACGCCATCGCCATGGTGAATGTCAATGTCGATGTACAGTACACGGGGGTGGTACCTGGGAGGGGGGAGCACAGCAAAGCCACACCAACCAGCTTAAATCACACCCCTCTATACCTGGATAAATGTAATTAAAAGCTGTACCATCTGCACTCAGCTTCTGAGGTGTAATTTACTCAGCTCTCGTTCAAATCTGGATCAGACTGTTCTGGAGGCTGCACCTCAGACAGTATTTAAACACAGTGTGTCTCCTGGAAGAAACCTCCATCTCAGGGTAACGACACTGCCTCCATATCTCCAGCTGAGGTGTGCCAAGTCCCTCATACCTCGGACTGATTCACACATCATCATCAGAAAATGCTGCTTCTGCACCAAGCACCCAAACCAGCAGAGAGCAGACTGTTGCAGGTCTGCCCTGATAGGACACTAGGTGAAGTCCATTTCAATCTATCCACTTGCTCTCTGCCTTAAATAAAACATATATTCGGTCCACTGTCGATTACAAAGCCAGAAGAAAGACTTCCAGTGCAGAAAGCAGGCACGTTTAGGGGCACAGACAGAACTGAAGGTGACACTGGCTGGTGGAAGGATAGTGGGCAGAGGGCCAGGCAAGTGATAGGGTGCTGCTTCCTAGTGACAGAGGCAAGTGGTAGGGTGCTGTCTCCTAGTGACACAGGTAAGCGGTAGGGTGCTGCCTCCTAGTGACACAGGTAAGCGGTAGGGTGCTGTCTCCTAGTGACACAGGTAAGCGGTAGGATGCTGCCTCCTAGTGACAGAGGTAAGCAGTAGGGTGCTGCCTCCTAGTGACAGAGGCAAGCGGTAGGATGCTGCCTCCAAGTGACACAGGAAAGCGGTAGGGTGCTGCCTCCTAGTGACAGAGGCAAGCGGTAGGGTGCTGCCTCCTAGTGACACTGGAAAGTGGTAGGGTGCTGCCTCCTAGTGAAATCAAAATATCCAGCAAGGCGATGTAGCTCACTTTAGCAGCTCCAGGATGCTGATGACAATGTCGTTAACGTAGCAAAATCCCGAGGCCTGGGGGCACAAGAGACATGATTATAACGACCAATCACCAGCTACCCAAAACACCAACTAGCGGGCTTCCGGGGCTACCGCACCTCAAATTTTTTGGCGTGGTGCAGTCCTCCAGCCCAGTTGATGGCGATGTCACATATCTGGCAAAGAAAGCAGCTTGTCTATTAAGGACTATATGGCCACACTGCAGCAATGCTAGTGTGACTGCACTCCTGTGTGTAACAGCCATCTCCCCAATGGGCTGCACCGCAGAGCAAGTTCCTAACGGTATTGTTTTCAAACCCCTCATACACTGCCTGGCCAAAAAAGCAGTCATTTAGTTGGACCACCTTTAGCTTTGATTACAGCACATTTTCATTGTGGCATTGTTTCCACAAGCCTATGCAACAACTCTGGTGGAACTCTGTGGTGGCCAATTCATGTGTGAACATGATTGCTCATACTCTTTCACAATTCAAGCCTAATCTAGCCACTCTCGTCCTGAAATATACCTGTACGGTCAGGAAAGAAAAAACTTATTGGTAGGATAACCAAGTCCAGGGGTAGGCAACCTTGATCCTTGAGTGCCGGTATCCAGCAGGTTTTCCATCCTACTTGATCTCTGATGAACCACCTGATCTCAGGCAGACAGTAACTCACGAGGTTGGACAGAAAACCTGCTGGATACCAGAACTCCAGGACCAGGGTTGCCTACCTCTGACCTAATCATGCAGTAAATTCAAGTATCCAGCTGACTTCATTTTTTGCTGCATAATGTTGCTAGTGAGCCCAGACCGGTTCAACTGATGCAACCCCTCAGTATTTGGTTATTTAAATTCAAACAGTGACCTATTTTGGTCAGGAAGTGTACAACTCGGAGCAAAAACCGCTCAAAGATTCAGCTCTATCAAGGTAAATTTAGACCCGACCTCCTGGAACCGCGGTACGGTCTCCGGGTCAGGTCAGAGACTGCGTTTTCTGCCTGTCTGTGTGACGATTTGCAGACAAGGGCTTGAGCACCCAGGCAGGCTAGTAAGTCACAAGTGCTTCTGTGTCTGCGTGTGTTGATGTTGTGGGTGCCGTGCTAATGCGTTGCTGCATGTGCGCATTTGTGCGGTGGTGGGACACACCTTGTGGTTCAGTTGCGTTGCTCCCTGAAGTGACGCCCCTGTGTACCTGGAACAAAACTCAAACAGGCCCGGAAACACCGGGCTGGGACAGAACAGGCACAGTGACTCTCAAGAACATGTCCTGCAGCAGAATCACAACTGATACCAAAAAAAATAGGACTGCAAGGTCTGGTATCCTTGCATCATTATAAAAAAGGCAGACAGAGCACCAGATTTCATGTCATGTACAAACACTGCTGAATGACTGATGTCATCAAGAAGAGACAATAAGCTCACTTCCGTCAGGCTGCAGAGTGAATGCTGGCACCTACCAGTCATCTCCCACATTGAAGGTGTTGAGGCTTTTGGTGAAGCCCTGCATGTTGTTGGGGCTGACCTTCTGCAGGAAGTCGATATAATCCTCCGAGTGAAAGCGGCACATGTCGTGCTGGGAGGCCTTGTATGGTTTAAACACCTGACAACCAGGGAGGGGGGAAATGGGGAGGAGCAGGGCAGGGACAGGGTGGGGATGGGGTGGAGCCAGTGCAGCGAGAGGGCAGAGATGGGACAGAGCAATATGATATAACAATATTACTGACACGTTCACAGACATTGCCCAACAGGTCTGATCAGAAATCAGTTTCTGGAAAGAAAAAAAAAAGATTTGATTTGACTGAAATGTGTGTTTGCGTTTCAGTTTTATGGCAGTACTATTTTACTATAGCTGTATATTGCCAAAACCTGAATTTTAAAATGTATTAATAGATTTTTCAATTATTTTGTCTATTTTAATTCTTTAACAGCAACAGATGTTATTTGGTCTGATGCACATCACGCATACCTGTATTTATATAAAAATTAATGCCTATCTGTAAGTACTAGACTATTATAACCTCTTCAATGTCTAATCTACAGGAAATTCCGTCCACGCAGTACTGTATTAATAAAACTTTAAAGTATATCAGATTCATCTAAGGTCTTGCAGAGCATCTGCGGGTACACCTGATCAAGCAACCCCCCAGCTTCCTCCTTCACCCAAAGTGTGTTATACTATCACGTTTATTTGTGCTGTGTTGGACTCATTTTCATCACACTACTGTTGTTCTTACACCATGTGTTTAACAACTTGCCTTATTCTTCTACCATGTTGTTGTTCTATGTTGTATAATTAAATGTGAATTTCACATTTGTCCAAATTGTAGCACTATATACTCCTACTGTGAGGTTCTTGCCCACACCAAACAAAAAACAACTCAATTGTATTTTAAGCTTATGTGTAGCGGGAATAAGATCCTACCATCATCTTCTTGTAAAGGCCATAATGCAGAACGAGGCTGTGCGTGAGTGACAAGCGGTGAGGTTTCATGGGATGCCCAGCACCTTGGAGAGGAAATAGTCAGAAGATTGTTATATAATGAAACTTGCGGGATTTAGCGGCGTTTTCGGCATACAGGAATGATACAGGAAGCTGTAACCCCCACGTACATGAACCCAGCACCACATCTAAAGGATGCCAGGAGTCAGAAAAACGAGGTGGGTCCCCTCCCACTTCGGGCGCCTCCATTTACCCAGCGAAGAGGCTGCTGTAAGCAACGCCCACATAAATGTCAGTGGATGAATCTCTCACTATTAATGCGCTGTGTTAGCCTGGTAAAGCTGCCTGATCGTGAAAACGATTTCACTGTGCAATCTACAGCCCGCTGTCCCACTAACAAACTGCTTGTGTATCCAAATAAGAAGGCATCACACACTGGTCTATTAAAAGCAGAATCAAAGACATATCTGCAAAGGGACCAGACACAGCTGATCGGCAGACTCGGAGGAACAGCCTAGTCAGATGGCTGCAGACAGAGAGAAAAGCCCGCTCTGTGAAGTGCGGTCTGCAGAAACCCCTCTCTATTTTGGATTTCAAATCACATCTAAATCCCGATCCTGGCTCTCTGTGTTAGCCAAATAGCCCCGAGCTATCCGAAAACTGTTAGCGCCGGCTTACCATAATGAAAGTTCCCGACATCCGGGTCGTAAAAATAAGCCGTCCTGTTCGTCATTACGCGAACGGTGAGGTTATTTCTCTGTCAGCGACTGTACAGCGTACGGAGATGCCCCTGAATCCAGCCGATCACAGGTATCTCTGCAGCTACCAGGCCGCCGCCATTGTGATCGCGGAATGGAATATGAATGCGTCATCAAACGTCGACGTCGAGTATGTACATGAGAGGGCGGTGGAAAGGGGGATGACGTAAATTTAAAGGGCGAGTGCGGTGATATTCGGAATTAATTGCATGGTAGTGGAGCAGTGGTCAAATGCTCTTTAAAACCCTTATAATGCGACTGTGGTCCATGCAATAAATCATCTTATGCAACAATTACCGACACCGAATTACTTAGATAGGTATACCCCAAAAAGGGAATCATCTAATTCTGACATGTAATTCTGTTTAGATTTCATCAGTTAATTCAAAGTGAATTTTATTGTATTTCATTGTCACCACTGTGCTATAGTACATTACGCCGCTTTGACTTGCGTGTCTCTGTTCAGCCATGATTAGAAATATACACATTCATTATAAGTGCCGCCGATTTAAATCTCAGGGTATTATAATAACCCGTATTTACATTAAAATAACTTTTGTTCTGTAGTCCACGTGAGGTGGAAATTCAGCTGTCCAGTTATTTAAATCGGAAAAACAGCTGTAAACTTAAATTCATTGTTTTTCTGAACTTCTTCCTATATAATTATCATTTGAGAAATTATAGGGTAGTAAGTATAGGTGTATATGTTTGTGTATTTATTCTTTATTTTGTATTTTTGCAAAATGATGCAACTGTATGTTTAACTCTAGCAAGCGGCAATAATTTCTAAAATGTAAGGGATTTAACATGCATCCATGTTTTTTTTAGTGTTTTGTAGACTATCATCAAAACTGAGAGTTTACCACGGGTAGTTTCACTGAGGCTGTCGTCACGTCATTAACCCCGGCTATTTTCCCTTTAAATAACTTGGAAATTTCCTCTCCCTCCCTCCGTTTACTCCAGAGCAGCTCTCGGCTGGATCTCGATCAGAGACCAGCCTCGTCTCGATGGCCCCACACAGCACAGGCGTTCGGCTCTGACATTCCGGTGAGTTTGAACTGCGCTCTATAGCGTTTGTGCGACGGGGCCCCTCCGAGGGTTAGGGGCATCTTGCGTTAATAGTCATTCTGAATTACCTTAATGGGGGGCAGGCTGGGGAGATCGGAGCGGTACCGCTGCGTACACGGGCGAACCGCTCATCCTGCTTGTGCTGCAGCAAACGCATTTTCACCGCTCGGTTATTTGCGTCCTCGAAATGCAATGTCACCAGTAAGTACGAATTGCAGAAATAGCACTGAGGTAAACGAGGGGACGTGCCGACGCCGAATAGTCAAGGGCCGTGTATGATATGTTAAAACTGGCTGCCGTGCAGTCTCCATCCTTTTCGGGTTGCACTCGATGTGGGATGCAAGGGCACATATTTGTCTTTTATATGCACGATCCTGCTCCCTATCACCAGAGCCGCTGTTACCCCATACATGAATGTAGATGAGGATGCACCGTGCAGGTCCATCAGACCACGGTTAAAAAAAATCAAGTCCAAGGGCAGTCGTGTCATGAAATCTACCGTGCTGACCGAGGTAGAAACCGCACGGGGAGGTTGATTAAAGGAAAGGTCCATTTCATCACGGGAGCGTTTGGGCGTTTAAGACGTGCGGCACAATGTCACATTAGGTTAAATGTTACAAGAAATATTATGCGAGCTAAATAAAAGCCGAATGCTTTTGCAATAGAATGACAGATGGATAGGGATGGATAAGGATATGTAAATCGTCTGTTGTACTAGTTTTGTGGGAGGTCATCTCCAGATCACCAAGTTGGACGGCGAGAACCAACCCATATGAAGAAACACGCAACGTTCAGGCACAAGCTGTCTTTCCGGTTTTCTCAGGATTAATTTAAAGGATATCTGACTGAACTAATTCATTTTCATTAAGACCAGACTGTTTGCATTTTTAAAAACTCAGCATGGTCAAAGTTTCAAATTTTACACTTTAAAATAAGGTTATCTGCTTTTCCAAATTAATTACTAGGGAAGATCACCAAACCCAAGAGAATTCGTTAGTATAGGCCCAATAATGGTAACTGAATAAAGCGTTAAGGAAGATGGATGGCTGGGCTATGCTGTGTATCTGGCCTGTAATCCGGCCCCTGCATGGAAAATCCAAGGTCGGTCTCTGTCGGTGTCCATAATTCACCCGGAGATGCGTCGGTGTGAGAGGCGAGCCCAGCGTGTCACGGCCGTCGGGACCCTCCGCTTTCTGGGCGGCTCCTGTATCTTATTTATATCCGATCTGCGGCTCCCATGGTCTGACCGGGCGCTGTACAACACACGCTGCGTGACGGGGAAAAACAGTGCTAAACGGGCAACTTGAGGATAAAGTACCTCATTTTGTGAAAGGGAATGGCATCTTACTCCTATGCTAATGAACTTTATTGCAAATGCACATTTGTCCACACATATCAAAAACTATCTCTCCCAATATGTTCTTCGTGTAAATAAATCGCTGATAGCTAATCCGAGTGTACAGCAAAGGGCGGCCTGATATTTAATAGGAATTTTATAAGACATTCCATCCTGTACAGTTAAATACTGCTCCAGTCAGGGCGAATGTACAGATGTGGGCCCTTCCATCAGCTTCACCCTGGAATAATTAACATTTATTAAACAAGTAATCAAGGCTCATGGGCATTGGTGAACTGTAATTAATAACCGTAGGGCTTCATCATTGCTGTTCCCGACAATTTGATGTATAGACAATCTGTCAAAGCCTCAGAGGTTATCACTTGTCTGAGAACTCACTAGAACTCACTTCCTAAGGCCAGTAAGGTTACTGCATGACTGAAAAATTGTTTGTTACCTACCTCTGGAGCTACTTTAATATTGTTGCATGTGGTATTTTCCATTCTTCTTTCTATGAGTATAAATGGGTTTCAGTTTAGCACGGAAACACTGTGTCTCTCTGTGCCTTTGTCAAACTGACATGGCATCATCTGCGGTTACGTTTTGTTGCTGTTGCTCATGTTCGTATTTGAGGAAGTGAGATCAGCAGTGTTTCCGGGTTCAATACGGTGCTGCGGCAGCGTGTCAGGCTGCACTGGGGGTGTTTGTTCTCAATCTTCTCATCCAGGTTCTCTTAGGTCTTGTTCCCCCAGCTCTCCAGGAGAATCAGCTGGACAGTCTTTGTCTCCAGGGTCTTGGCTGTAAGATGCAGCATTGTGGTTGTGGGTTCTTCTCTAGAAGGTTTCAGGCCATGTAGCCCAGTCTACAAGTTAAGCTGTTGGGAGAGAAGGTTTCTGCAGGCTTGTTATGTTTCATATCCTACTACCGACTCACCTGGTAAGCTAAAGCTCAGTTTCCACTTAACATTTAACTTCCTGTTCATAACTTCTGTATAGTCACTTACACCACATTTGCACTGAGTGGCCACATTATTTGGTTACCAACAGTCCAGTCCTCCAAACAGCCAATCGTGTGGCTGCATCTGAATATGTACAGCATCCAGATTGGTGAAGTTCACTTACTGCCTGACTAATGGAACTTTCACCCTGCCACCAAGAACCAAGCCATACTCAAGCCAAATTGCGAAGAGATGGTTTTCCATTGTAAATTTATGCAAGCTTTACCTAAGCTGTACTCACGCTGACATGGCCCTGCTTAATAACAGGGCCAAATGCGTGACCAAACCGAGCTGGTTGGTAGAAATGTGCAGTCAAGAGTCAACAAAGAACCAGTGATCTGTGTCAATATGCATGGATGTAGTAGTATCACACATCGCTATGTATTGATGCATTCCCAAACTTTAAACTCAGAATTTGAAACTTACCAATCTTCTGTTTTAAAAAAAGTAGTATAGAATGCCTGAACAGAATGGATTCATGATGCAAATTTATGCAAGAGAATGCTAATTCTGCTAACGTTTGATGCTAACATAACACAACGATTCTCACAGAAGTGCAAGCAGGTATTAGCACATGTAGTAAATCATGGTGTACACCGTGTGAACAGTAAATAAGCGTCTCTTCAGTTGCATGCCACTGTCGCTCTCGAAACTCAGCAATGCCTTTACCGAGCCTGCCCTTCTGCAGTGGGAAACCAAAGCATGCTGGAACCGCACTGTAGCTAGTCTCTCTTCACGGTACAGGTTGGGATTGGGCTGGGTCCTGTATGCCAGTGGAAAAGTGCCATTAGGGTCACAATAGCCAAGATGCCGGATCTAGGTGATTTTATATGTGGTGTGACTGTTGGTGTCAGGCTTGGTGGCTCCAACATCTCAGAACCAGCCACCCTCCTGGGATTTATGTAAAACGTATAATATGTGATGGATATTGCTGCGTAGCAGGCTACCTGCAGCTTGATTTCAGCATTCCTGATGTTGTTTTTGTAAGCTATCCCTGCTTGTTTCAGTTAGAGAACAAAAAAGTGCAAAAAAATAAAATGCAGGAACAATGCAATTGCACAGGAATTATCACTGTAATTATGATAAAAGTGGAGTTCGCGATAATGGGTGTTAATTACGTCAAGGTGCTTGGTGATGTTTATTGACTCTAAGTTCAGAAGGCAGGATTGGGGGGGGTTGCTGTTTTGGGCTCTGCTGCCAGACCATTCAGTGAAACAAAGAGCCATTCATGACGGCATTTCTCCGCTACACTACTAGCCAGTAGTGATGGACAGCTGAAGAAGATCCAATACAAATGCTATTGTCACAGCAGAAGTGTTGTTTGAGTGATGGGCATGTTTGGTGTGGGAGTACCCTGTGAAGTACCCACTACTGGCAGACGAGGGCCCTTTCGGGGGGCACCGGTGACGGACAGCGCCTGTATGCAGACTGCTGGGTCAGCTGTCCGCTTTAATGATGCAGTTCAAGTTGGTTTTCTTCCCAAAATGAGGAGATAATGATCCTGAAGGATGTGAGGAGACCTTGAAGTGCAATACAAAGTGACCTTGAGGGCAACCTGAGACAACAGCCATGCAGGAAGGGAACAGGTTTTGTAGTCGATTGTTCCGCAGTGCTGATAATATTTATGTTATATTCTGCTGGTCAGTTCCGTTGTAATTATGTTTATTAATAGAACTGTTAAGCTTAACTATAACTCCACATGAACGCATCTTTATTCAAATGCATGAACATCTAGTACAATCAGCCTTGCTTGTATCGCTTTGGACAAAAGCATCTACTAAATAAGAGGCGCCGTAAAGGGGGCGGGACAGTTAGAATGATTCCATGGGCCCCTGAGCAACAGGGGCCTTAAAAAATTTTGGGAACATAATATGATTGGTCAGGTTTTGGGGGCTCAACATGATATGCTTTCCTGGGGCCCAAAATCTCCAATGACACCCCTGTGGTAAATTAACTTAATGTAAATACTTGACATTTAGCTAAAGCTTTAAACTGTGCACATTATATAATTTTAAGTCATTTTTCACAAGCTATCAATGGCATTAATATACATGAATGTATAACGGTACTTAAATCCCACAAACATCATTCCGATGCCTGTTTACACGCATTTTGCAGAAATTGACAAACAGGCATCTGACACATGATACATTTAGACGTGTAGAGATGTAAACATGGAGGTGTCTGATTGGCAAAGTGTTTGGGGTATGTAAACTGGTATCTGATTGGTGAATTGTATGATGCGTTATCTGCTGGTTTTGTTAGTATGTTGAAACAGCCATTCAAACAAGCGCCACTATATTCACTTCTTAACATGGTTACCTGAGACTGCCTGGTCCTTTACTGGTCCACAGAACATGAAGCCCCTCTTGTTGAGGAGCTCATCATAATGGCTGCTGTCTACTAACAGGTGTGTCTGTCCTTGAAGATCTACTTGGAGACCTTCTGAGCATGGTAATGCATTCAGTCAAACGGACATCACAGTTGGATAGTCAACAGATGCAGACAGGCAAACATGGAAGCTGATGGATTAGATGCGTGGTGTGGAACATTTTGCCAGCCCTGAAGCTTTTGGGTGTGTGCCTAGCCGAGGTCTGCTCCTCATGCATGTTCATCCAGATAAAGGTGGAGTTTGCATACCAGCGCTACATGGGACCCCTGCCAGCTGTTATCTGCTCATAACATGAAGGCCCAGATGGAGAAGAAAGAGCCTACCGCTCATTGAAGGGTCCAGATAAAGCAGAGAGTCATACAGTACCCCTTCCCCACCTCTCTGCAGGTCCCACTCTGCCAAGAGTACCGTGTGAGAGAGCAAGAGGCCGATGACGGACCAGGTCACGTCAAGTGTGGGGGAACCCCCTCCCCAGTACATGATCTTCCTCCTGGTCTTCTTCTTCTTCCTCACTGGGCTCCTTGGCTTCCTCATCTGCCACATGCTGAAGAAGAAGGGTTACCGCTGCCGCACGGGCGAACCCGAAGACGAGGAGGAGGGACAGGACAAGGTGGCTGCCAACAACGGTAGGTAAAGTTCCGGAGACCTGGACTTGACTAGGTAGCTGCACATGGTGAAGGCACTTTCTGGACTTTGATGTTGCCACATGATACAGAAAAGCCAGCAGGCTTCCAAGCAGTATCATTTATGTAAACATCCATGTGTCAATCGTCAATCATGTTCCCAGCATGCTTAGGGGCATCAGAACTGTGGAGTAATAGGAACAGTCTTTGTGATATTCACTTTATTCACTCTCCTTATGAATTCAGATGATGGATCCGAGGAAAACCAGGACACAGTGGAACAAATCCTGAAGTGCATCATTGAGAATGAAGGTACAGTCCTGTGTGAATTTGGTGGACTGGGAGACAGGTTGTTGATGGCTGTAAGCTCTGTTAGGTCCCTCGATGGCGTATCAGACCTGTGCCTCACACATCCCTTGAATATGAGCTCAGGTAGACATATTCAGTGGCAGTTTCCTGTCATATTAGTCAAGGCTTCTGGCATGATTCATATCTTATGCCTAGGGTTATGCTGTCATAATGGAGGCAGCATTTACCATCTGTTCATGCAGAATTCAAGAACACCCATTTTCTTGTTGTGCTCTACAAAGGTGCTGTTCTTCTGTGAAGAGAAATGTAATTAAGCCATTTCCTTTTTCTCTCAGCAAATATGGAAGCATTTAAGGAGATGCTGGGGGCCCAGAATGTTTGCGAGCACGTCGATGCCAGGTATGAACCTCACGCAAGCCTGCCTCAGCCACATAGGAAATATCTCCAAGGTGATTCCACGGAGCAGTGCTGGCCAACCCATTAGATGACACAGGCAGCCGCCTGGGGCTCCAGTTTCTGAGGGGGAGCAGACTTAGTCAGATGATTACACTTCGTCTCAGACAGGGGGCAGCAGAGGTGAGGTCTGCCCACGCCTCCATGTGGGATTCAACTGGTACTGGCCCACAGGATTTATACATCTTTTCAGGCAATATCAGACACATACAAAGAACGTTAATTAGCATTTAACCTAAACCAGGGATGAGGACTAAGACTAGTAAATCCAAACTGGAGGCTGCCCAGATAAACCCAGCACAGTGACACAGGTGTGTGTTTCCCAGTTTTTATGGGATTTAAAAATGCCGTAAAATGCAGCTGTTGTACTTTAGCTGCTATTCTGTATTCTTCGGATCTCAATGCCAGCATGACTGGTTGTGGTGACATTAGATTTACATTCATTTAGATTTACATTTTCATTGAGATGCTCTCATGCTAAACCTAGGCTACGGGCTCTACGCCAGGCTGCGCTGTCGCTCCACCCCAGATTCTGCTTGTCAGATAATCACCGAACTCCTGTTACCTGGCTTAGGAGGCCTTGAATGTTCGTGACTGCTTGGCAGGCTGATAGAGGAATCACCTCAGGCAGGACCTGCAGCGATCAGCATAGGGATGGTGTTTACGATGTTGGCTGATGGCAACTTCAGCAAACTTTTAAAAACTGGCACTAGTGACATTCTGGTTGAGAGCTGTCAGTCTGAAATACTGTTTATTACAACATCGATAGCAGCAATTACAATGGCATTATCAAATAAGGACTATGTATTACTGATACTAACAGTTAAGGCAGCCCACGAATGATAAACTTTATTGATCTCAGGGGAGCTTCTTGAATTTTTAATTCTCGGTTTCCTCTAAAAATCCCTGCCATTTTCTCTGAAAGGTTCTAATAGTAACCAGGCGGTGTTAGGTGTGGATTCCTGCCCCTGTACATGTGATAAATTTGCACTGTAAGAGTTTGCAGCTGCTAACCTGAAATATGCTAAACCTTTCAGTCAAGCTCCTCACGCATCCGCTCTACAGCCATTAAGCCACTTTCCAGCTGAAAAGCACGGCTTTCATGCCTCCTTTTAATCCCTTTGGCAGAGTTTCAAGGGCAAGCATACTGCTGGTTAAAGTAAAACCTTAACTACATCGATGCCAGCAACACATAGGTCTAATTTGTGGAGTCCAGTAACCCCATGGTTCCGGCAAAATGGAATTAGCACAATGAACACAGGGTCCTTGGCAGCATGAATCGAAGGGCTGAACCATTAACTGACAAATCTACCTGCTTGTCCGTGTGCCACGGTGGGGCTCCCCCAAGTCAACCGTTCAATAAGTGGCTAAGATGGCGGCCTTCCAGTGGTGGAATTGGGTTCAGCTGTAGCTTCTGCAGTCACCAGCCTGGGGCTTGGGAGGACAGCAGTGTGAAGCTGTGAAGAAGCTCCTGTGCCAGACGCTGTATGGCAGAATGAGTAGAGAAAGGCTCCCCGAACACTCCGCAGACTTCCTCAAATGGTTGTGGTCTAGTTCTTCTGATTTGTCTCAAGTTAGCCTATGAGTTACTGTGGATGCCTCCTGAATTTTCTTAGGGTTACAGATGGATTTTTTTCACTGGCCATGCTGGCATGGCCCCTCCGTCCAAAGGAAAGGCAGACTTTGACTCAGAGATGCCCAGACACACAAGCAGATGTACACCTCCAGCTTGACATACACCATCAGCTTTATGCTGAAATCGAAAGCAGCATTTCGAGGAGAAGCACGAGATGACTGCCGATCTGGCTCCATACCCCCGATACACGTCAGCTGAGCCTCTCTGACTCCCCGTGCTCCCGCCTCACTCGGTCCTGGCTGAGCTGTAGGGGTTGAGCGTGGGAAGTATCCTGCCTGCTTCACCAAACCTGCCACCATATGGATTTGGCTGCCTGGGGGAGTTTCAGTGAGATTGTCCTTGGGGGGGGGGGGGGGGGGGGGGGGGGGAACATTAACAGGGGGACAGGCAGCTACAGAATGATTCCATCCTAAACATCCTAAGTTCAGTTAATGTGACACATCGTGATAATGGAATCACCCCCATCCTCAGGTTGATGCGCAAGGACAGCATGGGGGGCGTCCCGCCTCATCACCACACTGTTCATTCCGGCACGGACCGCAACTCCTGCCATCTGTGCGCTCAGGGCCAGTCCAAGAAAGCTCGGCGCCGGAGCCGGGTGGCACGGTTCAAGGCACGGTCGGGGGAGCAAACGGTCTTCTCAGTGGGCAGGTGGGTCACGCATGGTCACGCCCCGAGTGACTGTGGCACGGTTATGTACAGTACGGCAGGAAGTCTGTGATTTGCATCTCTTCGTAACACCGACTACATTTTGGTCTGATTCACAGGTTTCGAGTGACTCACATTGAGAAGAAGAACAGCATTCCAGGGACCCCCATCTTCCCCATCCCTGAGTCCAGCGAGAACACAGAGCAACAAAACACAGAGAAAGGGCCCCCAGGCAAACGTCTGGATGTGTATGACCTACAGAAAATGTTCAAGGGGGTCAACCCAGAGGCGACTAATGGTACACTTCCCCCAAAGGGCTCCCCCCTGAATCCAAAGAGGAGCACCAGCGATCCGGCCACAGTCAAAACAAGTCAGGAGGGAACGGAGCACAAAGCGGAGACTGCCGCCAATCAGGGAGATGACACAGATGTGCCTACGGACCCTGAGATGATCTCCGACAAGGGTTCACCCTGCGTAGTGGAGTCAGACAGCGGAGCAGCCGACGCAGAGGACATGGGGATCCCCAGGTTGGGCCCAGTTAGGACACGGGAATTCTGTGTGGTGCGGACAGGGGATCCCCCAGACGAGGCAGCACAGGGCGAAGATGGCAGGGATGACATGGTAGAGATGGAGGACATCAAGGACTGTCGGGTGAGCCAGGGTGAGGAGAGTGCAAGCTCCACCCGTGAGCAGAAAAGGAGGTCCGTGCACACGCAGCTGAAATGGTGAGGTGGTGCCGTACCACTGTGGGGAATCGGCAACCTCCAGCGGGTCAGTGTCTGCTCCTTACATAGCTTTGGCAGAGATATTTCCCACAGCCGGACTATCTGAGAAGCACCGGCATGTGGACATATTAACGGTACACAAAGCCACAGTCATAACTAAACCTCAGCTATCAGCCACTAACGCCAGTTTGCGGCACTGACCTGTTCGCTCCGTTCCTCAGGAAGCAGGTTTATAGTAAAAACAATAGTAGAGCCAGAAACTCCCCAAGGCTGCATGACTGCATCCAGACCAGGAGATGATTATCTAAATGTAACGTGTACAGATGTCACTCCTCGGTTTCACATTGACAAATTCCCTGGTGCAATGATTAATCTCTTTGGTTCTGACTGGGCCTTGACCACTAGTTACTGAGAGTTCCTTGCACATCTGCATTAGTCGTCACTCCAGGTGTCCCTCGTGAAGAAAATAACCCAGTTACCTCTTTACCTGTGCCCAATAGCCCCCGCGAGCCTCCCCACCACTTCAGACATCATAAGACATCTCCCCTTCCCACTGGACCAAAATGGGGCACATCTAGAGACCCCCCCCCCCACAAGGTGAGATGGGGACTTAATTTACAACAGATATCTGGAGTTTTGCAGCTAAGGTAGATGAGACCCCACCCGGTGAGAAGCGGATCTGCCGCTTCGGCGCCATCGTCCTGCCACCCCGCGCTTTGCCAGCCCTGCAGTACTCTTACTCGTCCGCCATTTCTGCAAAAAAGACTGCTGAAAAAAATGAATGTATAGTAGTGTGGAAGCAGAAGCCAGAATTCCATGTGGTTTGGGTAAGCTTCATTATGTGTGAACCTCGCTATCTCCCAGCAACATGACGAATACGCGATAACGGGTCCTACACGTGCTAACTGCCATGTAAAGTATTATAGTCACCACCCAAATGATTTCCTTCTCTGCATTGTAAAGCCTATATGTCTGTAGCTTAAGTAAGAATCAGGCTTTGCCATGTCAAGTGGTATGTCACATGACATGACACATTCTGCACTTTGACCTTTCCTGTATTTCACACAAGAGGCCTCATGCCCACATGTCCTGGACACCACAATTGTAGGCTCCAGGAGGGTTCTGGAACATTCTTCCCCTGCCCCATGTAAACTCTGTCCCTTGGCTTCCTTGGCAAAAACAGCTGCTGTAAGCTCACGTCATACCAAATCTAAGGATACAACTTTGGTTGTTTTCTTTGCACAGAAAACTTTTTAGAGAGAATTTATGTGATGAAAATTAAACTACCATTAACTGTACCTATTAATTTATATTATAGCTACACCGAGGAGGTTCAGGAATATATTTATATCCAAGAGGAAGTATATAGAAACATAACTTTGTAAAAATATGATGCAGATTACTCCCTATTCAGCACCATCTCATGTAATTAAAGCGATATCTTCCATATGAGCATCATGAATTGATCTAAGAGTTTTATCTTTAGGAACTTTTTAGGATCAGTGTCTTGCATGTGTTGTCCAGAAACGTCTCACCAGCAATGACACACTACCATACATGTCTGGGTAAGGTTATGCTGCAAAGCACACCCACAATTTGAGAAGGAAACGGGACACGGTACATGCAGACAGTGCAACTGGGTCCCCATTCTGGTTGGGTCCGTGGGTTCAGGGTTCCCAAAAAACCACGCCTTGAGCCATAAACCATGGTACACGAGCCAAAGCTGTTTAGCATGAGAGCACCATATAGCTTCCTGTGTTTGTGTGGTAACCATAGCAACTGCATTGCACATGTGACATTGGCAGACTCCATGTGGAATATCTGTAGGAAGACCAAGACTACAAATTACACCTCACTATTAAACACACATCTACTATATGTTTATTATATATACAGACACACCTACCTATAAAGTGTTACGTATCCTCAAACCTGGAAATACAGCTGGACAAAAATTGTCTGGAAATTTTGAAGAATAAAAATTAAAGCTCTGCATTTTTACACCCTTGGTCTTCGTCCATTATTCCCGCCGCTTCGGAGCCCCGTGTTCCCACCCAATGAACCGACTTGCCTGCTGGTCGGACAGGAAGTGTGCAGGTGGCGCCCCCATGCTTCAGCTACCGGAAGTGCTGTCAGCCCTCTGGAATGGCTGCTCTGTTTTTGAGGTTGATCATGAATATCCTTTACATAATAACCGGGCAGCACTGGTGTCTCACAGCATCACTACTGGGTCCTGCAGTGTATATGTATATGTGTGTATGCGTGCGTGTGTACATGCGTGTGTGCGCACATGCCCTGCGTGTGTACATGCGTGTGTGCGCACATGCCCTGCGTTGGACTGCCATCCTGACTGCAGTGCTGTACCTGTTTTCCCAGGATAGGCTCTAGGTTCAAGCTTAATCGCTGCTTGAAATGACATCAGTCACTCATAAATTTAGATACGTTATAAGTTTTAATAATCTTACATTTTACAGTTTACAATAAAAACATGGACGTCCCTTTAAATTACTTAAAAATTAAACAAATGTTAATAACTCAATATGGCTTTAACCTGGAAATGCTTCACCCTCAAACACACAGCACTAAGAGGTACACGATCCTGAGGGCAGGCTTCTCTGGCACTGGTGGCCAGGTGACAGACCAATGCTGGTGTTCAGCTGATCCACCCAGTCAGCATACTGCTGCGCCACGAGTCGTGGGGATAGGGTCTCCCTCAGAAGCAAGCCGGCATACCCACAGGGGAGACCGAGGAGAGATTCCCTCCACAGGGGACTTCAGCTTCAGCGGCACAGATCCGGGAACAGTCCAGAAATAGCGGAGGGGGCCTGCTGTGGGCTGCTGCAGTCTAGCCAGCCTCGGCCAGTTGGGGGATTGCGACCCCATGGCGTTCAGGGTCCGGGGGACTGCCTGTGGACAGGGGGCAGCGGGGGTGCCCTGGCCTGGAGGAGGTGAAAGAAGGTTCACTCCACATGGGTGAGCTGAGCCGCAGTGAGAAGGCGCCAGCGGGCCGGGCCGGGCACACAGACGCAGCACACAGCTGCGAACGGTCGGCTGCTGAGAGGGGCACCCAAATGCTAAGGGGGCGGCGGAGATAGAGGGTAAACAAAATACACACCGGCCTGATCCTCCTAGCGTTCAGGTCGGGGGAACTGCGGGCACTGCTGACACCTGGTGGGGGGGTAAAATAGGAAAGGAATGAGGCAGGGGCAATTAAAAAAAAAAAAAACACACCATCTGTTCAGATGGGGGCATCGCCTGACTCACGGGACTGGGACTCCTTACCTCCTCGGTTCACCGTCAGGAGGTCGTACACTGCAGCCAGGCGGGCCTCGGGGTCAGCGGACCAGGACCCCGGCGCCGAGGCAGAGCAGCGCTCGGTGTACTCCCCAGGGGCCGGAGGGGAGAACAGGGGAAGTGTAGGAACAGCTGAGCACTGCGTGAAGAGGACGACATTTCTCAGCTCTTAGTACAGAAACGGGAAACATTTCCACCGACGCGCGGCGTCGCGCCAACGACAGCTGGCCTCCACCTCGCTCCGCCCAGCACCATCCGCAGGCTTTTACCTCATCCTCGCCATCATCCTCCTCCTCCGCTCCCTCCCCGAGCAGCTCCACCATCAGCGACGGGAAGACACCCACGCGGCCCTCCAGCTCCCCTTCCCAGAAACCATCGTCAACATCGCCGTGACGACAGCGCCGGAGTCGGATGAGCGCCCCCTCCTGGAAGGAGAGCTCTTCCACGCTCTGCCCGTGGTAGTCGTACAGTGCCCGCACCATCCCTGTGAGGGCCAGATTGTGCCATTACAGCCCCGCCTCCTTGGGCCAATCAACAAACAGAAGGTTGGCGCCAGACGCCTGCTCATGGCGACAACAGAGATATGCGCGTGAGGCAAGCCGTCCAATCCGTACACAGGACCAAGGGGCACAGGACTCCAGCCTAATCCTTCCTTTGGGTGCATAACTGAAAAGGGAGCCACCGTGAGGAAGCTAATAGCGCCGAAATTCAGTATCGTAACACCAAGGCAGACAGCCTGTGAGTGGTGAACAAGAGCAACTCACAGGCAGAGCAGCTAAATGCTAAATGCTAAATGCATCCCTCTCGCTGCTTCCATGTAGTAGCCTGGGCTGAGTAGCAGCAAAACACTGGAAAAATTCACACACTCCTCTTAACATGTTTATCATCGTTGTGTTTTATGCTCCTGGTTGTGTACCAGGAAGGGAGTAGCAATTAATAGATTTCACCACTAGAGGGACCTTGAGATAGGGGAAACATACCCCCAGAGTGCAGGGACTGCTCCTGCTGCCTCCAGGGGAGACTAGGGGATGATTCACAGCTGCTGAAGGACGAGTCCAGCTGAAGGTTCTTCGGCAACAGACTCGAGACAGAACCCTCTGCTGGCCACTGCAGGTATCTTTCTGGTACGTAACCTTCTTGGCCAGCTGCGTTGCGTGCCTGTGGAGGAGAGGAGAAAAATCCTGGTATGAGAAGGTTCCTGGCATCCTGAGACCACCAAGATTTATTGCACAATCTCTAAACATATACAATTAAGAGCAGTTTTTCCCCAAAGGTATTTTTTCTGAAAATGCCTTATTCTCATCAAGATTTTAAGAGCAGTCCAAGGAAGTAGGTTCTCTGTGGGGGATCTTATTACAAACCTTCAGCCAGTCCTCCACGTCACCGTCCTCAATGACCTGTAGCTCCTCCCCCTCTGTGATCGACAGCTCGTCCGCCTGGGAGGCCTGCAAGGTTTCACCACACCACAGACCTGCAGCTGGACATTTCTCTGCATTCAAGTCAAGAAGGAGGCGCTGTAGCTGAAGAAGTGGCCCTCACCTGGTACGTGTAAAGTACCCTGCAGGAAATGGGGAAGCTGCAGGGGGTGGTGTCGGCCCCCCAGTCCGAGAAGGCGTCGCCGTTCTCGTCAAAATCCTCAAAGTCTGTGAACTCAAAATCATCCTCCTAAAACAGGAAGAGGAACGTGCGGCGCAAAGATGCGCCTTGGGTTACAAAAAATATTTATGACATAAGGAACACATGCAGACAGAAGTACGATTTCAAAACTAGATGCAAGCGATTGTGTTTCCACCACCAGGGGAAAACAATCTAAAAAGACAAAAACAGAAGCAAGATACGCTTTGCCTTATTCCGTGAGTCATTCACACTCCCTTAAGCATTCAGCTGCTTGCGCTTCATGCAGACAATAAGCCACCCCCATTTTATCGTGGACATGCTCTTAATGTGAAATAGTAAGTTTAAGTAAACTCCATTCTGTCCAATCACACCTGGACACCTTCTGGACGGATTCACTTAGGGTACAACAAAAGTGCCTATTTGGAAACAGGAAATTTCTGCATCTCCCCCATGCCCTGCTGCCCCCGTATGACCTTTGACCTATCCCACGGGATGATGGGAAACACAGACCTCTGCGGCGGGCTCCCCACTGGACTTGCGGGCCTCGCTGAGCCTCCTCTCCATCTGCAGCTCCTCCTCGGCCTGGCTCATGGTGCTCCTCACCACGGGCTCCACGTCCACGCCCGCCTCAGCGAGCAGGGCCAGCCGGGCCTCCGCTTTGACGCGGCTCACCTGTGGGGGGCGGTGGTGAACACCTGACACCAGGGCCACGGCTCCGAGAAAAAACACCTCACGCTTCCCACGAGCCACAGCAGTGGAGCTGTTATGTTTCAAAAATATACATATTACTTTCTAGGAATGAGAGAACAGAGCAAGATAGAGGATGGATATGAGCTGCTTTCCTTGAAGTCTGAAGAAAAATACCCTGAAGAAAAGGTCAAAGTGAAACCCCAGGCCGGTGTGGGTGGGCTGACTGCGTGTGCTTATCTTGATTGGGGCCCCTCCACCCCCATGTATGTGCACGTTCACTCACTGAACCCCTGGCAGCTGAAAGTCAGCACGATAACACTATTTCCACACATGACGTGTTTCACAGCCAGAAGGATGTGGCCGGACTCACCCGAGCTTTCCTCACACTCTCCTTCACCTCCTCCATCTTCCGCTCCACGCCAGCCTCTGCCTCGTCCTCCTTCAGTTGGGACCGCCGCCTATCCAAGGTCTGCAGGGCCTATACCGCACGGGCCAGTCAAGTTTTATGACCCCCCTCTCCCTCCCCCCAGTCTCTTTCCCGGGGAGGCCAACACTTACCCTCCCCCCATGAGCTATGATCTTGTAGTCTTTCGCAGCCTTGGTGGCCCATTTCTGTGCCTCCTTGTCCAAGCAGCTGTCGTCTCCTGGGGAGGTGCTCAAGTGCTGCAGGGTACTCACCTGGACAAGGACAGGGGGCACTCACACGTCACAGTTCTCCTGCTATGTGCAAAAATCTGCCCAGAAGCACCCGAGAACTGCTATCTGAGTTCTCAACTTGACAAGTGTTGGGGAAGTTACTCACAAAAGTAATCCATTACAGAGAGTTCAGGTCCAGAAAGTACAAATCTAGAACAAGGTTTTGTTTCAACCAACCAGTTGAGTATAAACAGTCACAGTGACAGAGTACTCAGAGTACTCAACTGCCTGACACTGCTGTTTTGTGGTCTAACCACTTAGCTGAACCCCTTGTTTAGTGTAGACCAGGGTTGGGGCCATTCCGGAATGCATTGATCAATTCCAGTCCAAATCAGGAAATGGAACTGGAGCTGGGATTGGGAAAAAAACTACGCGGAACAGAATTGGAGTTGAATTTGAATTTCAGGGAGATTTAAGTTCCAACTCCAGTTCCATTTCCTGATTTGGACTGGAATTGATCAATGCATTCCGGAATGGCCCCAACCCTGGTGTAGACCACGTTACCCAGTCCCTGGTTTTTTTTCTTGACAAACCTTGACTGAATAAGTATGATGATTTGACTCATAAGTCACAGATTACAATGTTCTGAATTTTTTTCACATAATAAAACTGCTAATGTGGGAATACCTGAAACTCAAATTATAACCAGAAGATTTCAGTCAAGGGCTGATTCATCATCAAACAGAAAATGATTTCAGATTATTTTTTTTTGCTTCCATTTGTTTTTCTCTACAAAATAAGTCAGCACTATTTGACTGCTGATTTGGCTGATCTCCTAATCAGCATAACAGCTGGAACATAACAGCCAGCGTGGGGGAAAAAAGTCAGCAAGAGGATGACAGGGCCGTCGGAGGAGTGGGCTACCTCGTCGCCGGGCACCGCCTGGAAGTGGACCTCCCAGGAGCGGCTGAAGGTCGGGGTCTCTCGCAGGAAGATCTGGAGCTCCTCCTCGCGGGTCACCTGGTGAGACAAGCGGATTCTCCTCACGGAAGTGTCCACGGTGTCACGGAATGCCACAGCGTGAGGACAGCGGGATCTGGCAGCTCCTCCTACTCGGCAAACGGGAAGGCGGGCAGCATTCGGTTCAAGCGGAAAAGCCAAAAACACACCACCAGAATAACAGAACCGCCAAGTCACTATAGTCTTACTTACATTTAACATAACCTGACACCAGCCTAAGTAGGCAACTTGAGCAGGACCCTCAACCCCCAGCTCCCTGGGCGCCGCTACGGGTGGCTGCCCTTCGCGGACAACTTACTCTACAAAGAGCAAGTTGCAAAACCTTCTCCTTTACTTCGCTCCCCAAAAAAATCCAAGGAGTGTCTTCAAAAAGTCCATGAGTGTCAGGTCGAGTGAACGTGGTGGCTTGGCGACATGTGTAGAGCAAGTTGAGGGAGGCGTAAAAAGAATTTCCCCACGGGGATTAATACATTTTATTATTATTTATTATTATTACCTCCACAAAAAAAACAGCACATAAAGCTCAGTTGGGTATGAACAGCACTTGAGGTGTAAAGCATTACGGCCAGCAAACCGCAAACACACTCAGAATGTGATGCACTTCCACCCACTCATCTAGAATTACACTGGAATACTTAATCTGCTTTCACTACCTTCACTGAGAGCGGTTTCTGCGGAGGGAGATGTCCAGACAGCACCAGACAAAGCATTCTGCATTTACACCATCTTGGGGCTGGATGGTACAGGGGACAGGGTTGTCTCTGGGACACCACTCAGCATCAGTATCAGAATCAGAATCTTTATTGCCACACAGCCAAAGCCAGTGGAAATTTGTGCTGGCACGGCACAATAGCATGACAACAGACAATTAACAAATAGGAAGAATATAAAATAGCAGACAAAGAATAAATACAAGACACAAGATACCCAACAGAGGGACATCAACGCGAAACCGGTGATAAATACAGTGGATTGTGCACAATGATGAATAGCACAATAATACAGGTACAATACAGGCAGCATACAGTCATACGTAGAAGGGATATAGAGATACCTGTATACAGTATATTAGAGGCAGCTGCTGATTAATTTTTTTTGTAAAGCAAACTATAGACCAGTGGTTCTCAAGCTTTTTAATCAGATTTTTTGTTCCAAGTCTGACGTCCCGATCAATTTTCAATAACAATACAGCATTTCTTGAACTTCAATGAATTAACGATAACTTTCAATACAGACAACAGAATACAGCGTGGGCCAAAATTAGGTATACAGTTTTTATAGCGCTGGATCAGCCACCACGTTCACTCGACCTGACACTCATGGACTTTTTGAAGACACTCCTTGGATTTTTTTGGGGAGCGAAGTAAAGGAGAAGGTTTTTGAGAGGAAGTCCCACACAGTGAAAGGACCGAAGGAGCATTTCTGGATGCTAACAGGGATTTCTGTGTTAAAGTGTGTCGATGTCAGGAGCAGGATTCAGGAATGTATCAATGCTGACGGAAGACATTTTGAACACTTAAGAGACTAAACATAATATAATCAGCACTGTAAAATTAAAAACTGTATACTTTTAAAAATAACTGTAAAATAAAAACTTTGTGAATGGGGCTAATGACGAGTTATGTGTATGCAAGGTTTGGTGGTTCTACACTGTATTTTTGTACTTCAAACCACATTAAGTCTTTTTAACCATTTTGATTCGTATGATGCATTACTGGCTGGATCCGGATTAAGTTGTGGTTTGGTCCACATCAGGAGCACGGTCCAGACTTTAAGAAACCTGCTCTAAACGGACAAAATATTATACTAAATATTACAATATTCATTACGCTGTAGTCCTAAACATTTTCCATTGCTTATTAATTTCAAATCGAATGTAGCCCAATTTAGCCTACTTCAGCTGTGTAACTATTAACCTTGTGAATTTATTTTTCTTTACATTACAAGTGCAACACAAACACAGTAGTAAAAGCCGAAACATCGCTGTAGCGGGAAAGCACAACTGTAAACTCCCTATAGTTTCCTCTGTTGTCACAGCTTTCGATACCGTCGTATCTCCTAAATGCCAGCTATTTTCTTCCATAGAGTTCAATCGCATCAATCAATCAATCAATTTTCAGAATCTCACGGTTTTTCCTCCCTGTGTCGTTGCGTTTGGCTGACGGGAGATGCACGCCTTTGTTCATCAAACTATCACTCAGCACCAGAGCTGCCACTTTCCATCTGAAGAAAGAAGGAAGGCCACAACCCACCTCCTTGGGTCCACGACGATAAAATATCCTGGGGGGATTAATCACGCAGCCCAAAAATATGGGAGAAATCATGTCCTATATTGGTTCAAAATAGGACATAGTATTTTATTTTTCACTAAACATACCAATTCCTTGTTCATAAATCAACAAGGAAAACCGGCAAAAAAAACTGTTTATCTCGCCTGATGGTCAAACTCGCTTTCTGAATGGTTAAATATGTGTCAGTCATATTTGGAGAGTGCATCACTGGAAAGATAAGATGTGGTACTACTTCACTACGTGCGTTTAAAAAATTTGTCATATTCCATAATTATCCAATCAACTACTAGATAGAAGGTGCAGAGAAATACACTGAAGTATACACCAATGAGCGAAAACATCATGCACACGATGCAGGTAATGTTAACTATCTCGTAAAAATGGCACACTCATAGTTCACATGTTGAATGTGGAAGAAATGGGCAAGGATTAAAACCGGAGTGACTTTGATAAGGGCCAAATTGATATGGAGAGGCGGCTGGATCAGAGCATCTCTGAAACAGCAAGGCATGTGGGGTGAGCGTCCACTGAGAGTAATCTGAAGAGGTACAAACCACAAACTGCCAACAAGCCCTTGTTAGTCAGATCTTTACCATTTCTACCGTTTTCAACATGTCAACCATGAGCACCAAATTCTCACTTACCATCTATATCCCAGACTTTGACACAGTCCGGTTTTATGAGATAGTCAAAATTATTCTCTTCACGTGAGGGTAGTCATGTTTTGGCTCATCTGATCTGAGAATTCGACGTTCGATTTAGCAACCCTACGGCAGTGTAGTTTTGCACAATACAGATTCTCCCCAGGTTACGATGGTCCGTGTTACGATATTTCAACTTTACGATGGGTTAACATTTTTCACTTTCTTACATGAGATATTAAACACTTTATTATAAAATAGACTTTGTGTTAATGACTTTGCTCAACTGTAAGCTAACGTAAGCGTTCCAAGCATGTTTAAGGTAGGCTGTGATGATTGTTAACTTAGCTATGAATTTTAGGATTATCGGAATGTAACCCCATCGTAACCGGGGGAGCTGGCATTAACAAGATATTTTATAATATGCAAGCTACGTTCCTTTTCTATTTTTTTTTTTTTGGTGAAGTTCTGCTTCACCAGTTATCTTAAAGAAATTGTCACTCATACATATGTAGATATGTATACAGATTCCGTCCCCCTCAGATGTATTCATAACTAATTAGATAACTAGCGAGTAGAGTGAAGTAGATGGTAGTTAGCTGGCTGTTTAGTAGAACATGCTGCTTCAGCATCTCCTAATGCGTATTTCATATTTAGCGTAGTGACTGGCTGTGGCTGAGCGGGGGCTTGGTTTGAGTGCTTTGAGGGGGTAAACACTGCTGCTATCTCCACCCTAGCAGCCCCCCCCCCACTTCTCCTTCCACAAATTGCAACTGCCTCTGATCATGTCACCATTTTGGATAAATTGCTACAGGTCAGCATGTCACCTTGTGGACCACAGCACCCGGAAGATGTTAAGGCAGACAAAAAAAGAGGCCAGAACACACCTGGCTCGCATCCTTCTGAATCCTGGCAAACTCGCTCTGTGTCAAGTGACAGGCGTCGATCTCCGTGCTGCACAGCAGGGTGAACTGCTCTCGAAGCTGGTCAAACAAGTCAGCGTCCATCTCCTACAGGGACGGGGAGTAAAGGAAAGTAGTTGCCATTTGGACAAGTACAGGAACATTAGTGTGTGTCAGTTATCACATATCCCATCATGCTCTAGTTTTTAAGACACGCACACACACACGTATAGAGGTGAGAGTGACGCTTGGGGTCTAAGCACAGGGTCAGCCGTCCATCCAGCACCCCTGGGGCATTTTGGGGGGGGGGGGTTTAAGGGTCTTGCTCAAGGGCCCAGCACCACATGAAATGATAATGAGATTTTTTTTAAGTTCCTGCATACCCCATTTGTTACCATTTGGCTCAGCGTCAGGATGCATATTGTTCACAGGTCAGGAAATTAGCCAAACTCTAAAAGCTGCTACATCCTCAGAAGGAGCCTTTAGTCATTTCTCAAGTACAACAAAGCAACACAAACTACCACATCAGAGTGCGGTAGGCAGGTTTCGGTGAGGGGAAATAACGCCGGCGATAAGCCTCCAGGGCCACCGCTTCAGCTTGCTTTTTTTAGCGTGTTTTTTAATAATCAGCGGTTCATTCTGAGGAGCCCTGAAAAACCAAAATGCAAGTTAAAGTGTCGGGCCATTCGGAGTTTTTCTCGAGTTTGCACTTCAAGGTCAATATGAATGTTCAAGAAACCGCAAGCAAGCAGGAAGCGGAGCTTCCCCCAGCAGCCTCACGGTGACTCATCATAAATTCAAGATGTGACACTGCCCCAGGCATCACTCTCCACCCCGACTCAGCACTTTCTGCTGCCCTCCAATGCCCAGATCCTGCTAACTGCCTGTTCGGCTCAGCAAAACTGAGCCGCCCGGGCCTCGTCGTCAGTGTGCCGCTCTTCTTCTTTTCAGCAGTAGAGACGGAGGGAAGTGGCGGACATCTTGGCGACATGTGTGGGCGCTGCTCTCTAAAAGCAGATGATCAGTTTCTGGCAGAAATGATGCTACCCGCTTACCGTTTCGAACTCTTCCGCCCCCTCCTCCTTGTGTATAGAGCGGAAATTTGCAAACTCAACGCTAACTTTGCTGACATGCACAGAGGGGCCCTCCCCGTCACGGGCAGGACAAGAAACGACAGGTAAGGACAGGGCCCACGTACCCTCATGATGGCGGGGAGCTCCACGGAGTCGTAGTGCCGCTGGTGCGCGCAGACACCCGCCAGGGCCAGGAGGTTCTCGTTGCGCACCTCAGTCAGGCGGCAGTGGCAGTCGGTCAGGCGTGCCTGGAGCTTCCCCGCGGGACAAACATGAGGGGAAGAGAGAAAGAGGACTGAGCACCAGAGCTAGAGGAGCACATCTGCAGCCAAGCTAAATTCATGGGTGGGGACCAGCGGAAAGTGCAAAAACGGGCCCAAAGCACTTCAGATACTACTTCCCATTTCACTGTCCAGAAATGTCACATATAAATGTTTTTCTATGTTTTCATGAAAATAAAGGATACTTTCTCACTCTTTTTGCCAACCTATCCCTTGTTATTTCTTTCAAAAACTGCACTGAAAATGTCCATTGAAATCCATAGATTTTTTCTCAGTGGTTCGATCAAAGGAATTGGTCAATTTCACACTCAATCTTCTCACAGAAGCCTACAAAAACCTCACTAAACTAGGTACCAAAATAAAACTTGAAAAACAAAGTTTTTTGAGGAGGTTCATACCAAAATCCAACAATCAACCACCATGGAATTGAAAGTGAGGCCCATCCTCATCAGGTCAGGAGGACCCAAAATCCAAATCTCAAAAACCGTGACATGAAATTTTTTTGTATCTATTTTGTATCAAAATAAAACATTCTGACTTATTAAATCTAATCTAGGCCAATTTTAAATGTTTACCTGCCAGGACCTATTAGAAAGAGCTGAAGCCAGATTGATGAAACTAGGCTGAGAAAGACTGCAAGCTGCTGTTTGTGGAAGATGGGAGCTGATGGGAGCCAATCGTTTGTCGGCCTTGGTTGATTGCTACTTTTTCTGCGGTCAGCTTGTTGTGTACCCAGCCAAAGACCCGGCGGAATCACAGAAAGCAAAAGATAAGAGTTTGAGCAGCTTGAGACTTTTTTTGAGGCTTTTTCACAGATGCTAATGTTGGGTCTGTCTGAGTTAGTCATTCCTATTGCCCTCCAAGTGTGGTGATTGCAGTATCTGATCTTTTTCCCTCAAAAAAAAAAAAAATACAGCTGATAAGGAGTAAAGCTCGCCACAGGGACGGCGACAGAGCAGTACTTCTGCCAACCCTGGGGAATTTTGTATGCTAGCATCCTGCTAAGTGCAGAGGGGCAGTAATTACACAGGGTGGAACTTACAGTCACCTTGGAACACGGCTGAATCACCACTGTGATTACCTCAGATGCTTTTGGTTTCCAGGGAACTGATTATATCACAATTAGACCTATGTTTCAACTAGAAAGACACACTTTATATAGCTATCGGGTATTTCAGACAGGAGTAGTACCTCTGTAGATAATGGGTGATTTCCTGATTATAACCTGCTCATTCAACTGCCAAACTAATTTTCAAAGTCCGTTGGCTAGAAAAAGCTCCCACATAGTGCTACCATGCAGAATGTAGAGGTTTTAACAAACATATTAAAGATTCTTCATCAAAAGAACATCAAATATATCAACCAAAGCCGCAGGTTCTGTACTGAGATTTGAACCTGGCGACCTGCAGGTCCTTTGCTAGGAAACTAGTTATTTTCGGTGGAACTGCTTTTGATGTAGAGTGCAGTTAATGGGCTCAGCGGGTAGCCAAATGGGGAACAGTTAGACTGGCCAGGTGTCACCCCCTTTGATACAAGATACACATATGGTTATACAGTACAACATGTAGTGAAATGTACCCTGAACGACCCTTAGACTGTGCAAATCAAATCAAAAACAGAATTAAGAATAAGTCAACAGTTTAAAAAATCTTACAATAAACTAAAAAGTTAAAATAACTAAAAATGTATATACCGTACATAATATAGAGCAATACTAGGACTGGACGATATGGCAAAAAATTATATCACGATATATTTCTTAATTTTGGTCGATATGATATAATTCC